GGAAAACGGGGGCCGTTTTATTGGGGCCGACATGACCAACTCGATTTCGACGGGCCGGTTTCGTTCGAGTACGCCTATGACCCAGAGAGGAATCCGATCGATGAGAATGGCATCAGGAGGTACCTCGTCGCGGATGTGTTCGCCACGCCATGCACCAAGTGCACCGCTATGAAGAAGCCTTGCTTTTTTGCCAGTGGGGAGCCGACGCCTTTGGGAAGGAGCGCCATTGATGAACAAGATCTGAACAAGGCCTGCGCTCCTTGCAAGGAGTCTCGGCATAAATGCCCGGGCCATTCACGACTGAGGCAGCGGACCATCATCGACAATCCGTTTTACAAGGATGGTCTGCTCTACAAGGAGGCCAAAAAGTCTACACCCAAACCCGCCGCGCCCAAGGCCACGGCGCCCAAAAACACCACGCCCAAACTTGTGGCGCCCAAAGCCGCGGCACCTACACCAGCGCCCAAACCAGCGGCGCCTAAACCAGCGGCGCCCAAACCAGCGGCGCCCAAACGAGACGCACCCGTGGCGGTCAAGGTTGCAGGGCCGTCGAAGCCCCAGGTAAAAGGTATTGTGCCAAACTCCCCATGCCCAATGCTCTCTGAAATGTCTTTGTTAGATTCCACTCCGAACGCCAAGCCAAAGGCCCAGCCCTCGATTGCGTCGCCCTCAGACTCTGCGCCCACTGAGATTGGTAAATCTCTTCAAATGAAGTCCAGCCATCCAACTGACCAATTCAATTGCCCAGCTCGTATGGAGGACCGCATCATCACACTCGAAAAACAGTGCAGGAGACTTGCGGCGCAGGTGGAGGAGACAAGGGAGAAGCTCGACGGTGTCATCGAAGAGCGGAAGGAAGACGTGGCCGAACTGCTCCTCAAGCTGAAGAAGATGGAGCAATCGGTTACCTCAACCAAGGATTGGACGACGCAAAAGGTGATCTTCGCGATGGAAAGCCTTTTCCTCCTTGGAAATGGCATCCATGCGGCGCTCCTAGAGTTGGTGACGAAAATGACCGATCTTCCGGAGGAGATGGGCGCACTGGTATTGGTGGAAAGCGACGACTCAGTGGCGAAGGTGAAGGAGTTGTTGGAGCGCGCCAAACCCAAGTGGGAGGAGATGATCCAAGTCCTCGAAGCTCGACTGCCCTGCGCCCAGGATTTTCAAAGGGGTCAGTCGACGTCGCCCCCCACTGATGCAGGTCCACGTTCGTCCGGCGCAGCAGATGCGATTCACACGGCGCCCGCTGTCACTGATGCAGCTCCACGTTCGCCTGGCGCAGCATATGGGACTGACATGGCGCCCACCATCGCTCCATCAACTCCAGCGCCTGCTTCGAATGCACCCTCGCGGCCAAACTCGCCCATCGCAGCGAAACAGCAATCAGCGGTGGCCACCGCCACTGCTGGAGTTGCACCTGCTGCCCCTTCAAGTCCCACGGCGCCCAACACCGAAGGAGTAGAACTCGCGCCGGTTGAGGTTGGCCCAGGTTCTCCACTTACCGCCATTGGATCTCGCCCCGCTTCCCCGCTAAGTGGAGATGAACCTACTGGGCGCAAAAGGAAGGCTGATGAAGAGGTCGACGCGGACATCACCAGGAAGAAACCGGCCAGCAATCGGAAGAAGGGCCCACCGAGTGCACCTCAGCGCAGACAACCTACGCGTGGTAAGGCTCCCGATAGCGTCAATCCGGCGACAGCAGGCCAGTCGAGCAAACCGGACACCATCATCGAGGAGGACTTGTAAATAAAATTCGCATGGCCATACATATCTTGAAATACCCTACAGTAGCTAGGGTATAATAAATTTTTTGATGCAGTTATTCTTTGGCACGCATATGCTTTGGCGCTCTTTCAGTTCAACTGACACATTTTGGGGCGCTGGCAAATTGAGGTTACTTGGGGCGCAAACAAATTGAGGTTCCTACGCGTTGGCGCTCTTACATGACAGGGTTTTGGAACAGCTTGGAACCCAAACCTTGTATTCGCAGGTGTAAGTAACATGTAGCTAGGTTGACTCAGGCGCCGGTGCGAAAACAGGTGTGGCACCTGAATCAAAGAAAGACTCAAAAGTGTGCAACGTTGAATCACTCCTTCCACCACTCTCCATGCCGTCGTCAATGACGCCCATGAAACTCTCTTTGACTTCAGTACAAGTCCAACCTCATATCCCAGGATCTTGATTGTCTTCATTACCTGAGCCACATTTGTGTGGAAATTCCATTATCCATTCATTGAACCTGTTGGGCCCACCCATTTGAAACGAAGACTTTGTAGGGCCCACGCATTGAATTGAAGACAGTAAGTACTGCCAGATATGTCGCCCACCTGATGGCACAACAACGGCTTTGGCGCAAAGCTCGTCGCCTATATTTGGCGGGCGAGCACCAGTTGGGCCCAGCCATCACTAATGGACAATTTGTCGATGGGCATGGGTCCGCAGTGAAGTCATTTCGAATGAGCGCGCCCATTAATGGCAGGCGCGAGCGCCCATTATTGGCAGGCGCGCACCTGTTCGGCCCAGCCATCACTATGGAAGATATGTTGATAGGTGGGCCGAGTCCGCTGGCCCCATATGGTATGAGGTATTGTCAGGTTCGGTTAGTCCATTAGGTAAGGGCTAGGGTCACTGTCATATGTGCAGTCCGAAGTTCGCCCGAAGTCTACACGAACGAAAGCTTGAGCCAAAATTATTGTTGTCGTTTTCGCAAAACGGGTGATCAGTACATAGTCCCGGGTGCATTGTCACCCATTCAACGATACACCGTGCCGGCTTACTTATGACAAACGGCTTCAACACTTCCTTCGCCCTGGACCTATCTGAACAAACTAATACTTGCCTGACGTAAAACGAATGTTGATGAAAGCGCGAGACTGGAGAAATTCGGTCGAGTCGGAGAAAGCCCCCCTGACCAAATAGAGCGATATCTGAAAATACGCTGGCCCGCTAAAGTCCTTCCAGGTAAATTCCCAAGTCGTGCAATGACTGTCGGTGGAACATAACTCTCACCTATATCCAGACCTGAAAGAAGCAAGGGGGCAAGAACGGATGAAGACAAGTAGAACAGTGCCTGCGGCCACAAATGTTGAGAACACGTCCGCTAAGATCGACATGCCAAAGGGAGGATGGAAAAACTTGCAGCCTACATCTCACACGAGATAGCTGCGGATCGGAACGTCCCGCGCACTTTTCAGAGCCTCCAGCTGCAGTATTCTCGAGATGACTGATTTCCCTGGTGCTGCTTACAGCGGCCGTAATCCCCAAGGAGCCTGGGGTGATGAGGTGAGATGATATCCGGGCGCGCACATGAAGGTATACACGGCATTCACGGAATGTCCGGAGGAGCCGCCATGAGAGATCAATGACACCCAGATTGACGGTAACATCCAAGGATACTAGGCTAGTACTTCATGAAATGGAGCTACAGCGGGAAGGTCAATTGGTGTAGTCCTTCCTGTGGCTCTGGCGACGCAAAACAGTACAGATTTCATAAGTTGTTGGCCGGTAGCAATATGGCAGCGTCGCGATAAAGCGAGGTGTTGGCGAGGTGATTAAATATTTGAATCATGGCAGTTCAACTGAGCACGTGATGGGTGGAACTAGCTACGTCGCTATCAGGAGGCTGTTGGGAGGCTGCCTTCCAATTTCACCTATTCCATACTCAACTTTTATTTTTGCTTTTCTGTGATTTTTCCAGTATCTATGCGCTCCTACGTGTATCCAACGTGTACTCAGGATCTCGATCATTCTAGCGGGATATGTGTTCTAGGAATTTCCCAGTCGAACTCGCTTGGATCTCCGAGCCCTGTTTGCGCCCTGTATCAACTTCAAGTTGGGATTCACAGCGTCGAACTTGAGATTCGACATGTTGTTCGAAGTAGTAACCGATCAACAAGCAGTTGAAATCACTTGGAGTTCGCGCTGAAGCAGTAGCTCTGTTTGGAACTTGCCCACAGGAACATGCCAAGGACTTTTTTCAAAGCTTATTGACCCCAACTCGAGCAGATTACCCAGCATGCAAAGGAACGAGTTTCCTTCACCTAGATTATCCTTCCCACTAACCGGAATTTTGTCATATCGTGATGATCGTATGAATCAATGATATATCGGTGAGCACTTCTCATCGTATTCATTTAGTATGTTTCACAAAAATTCTTGAGGCCTTCACGATCCTTTCAAGATCTATCTCGACGTTCATCGCCAACTCGAAGAACGCATTCTACGCTAGCAGTACGCCAGACGTAGTTGAATGAAGACACCAGGCCCCGATTGTCTTAGAGCGCGTTTTAATTGAGAGTACGTCTTAATCGTTCGAGCCCATGCGCGCGATATCTACGACTTACTAGTACTACGCTGGGTGAGGACACTGTCTGAAGCGAGTCCTGAGTCCAAAATGAACCGCATTTGCAACCCCCTTTGGATCTATTTCACGCGAAGTATAATCGTGCTCAGCCCAGTAGCGGCAGCTCTTATTTGCATCCGAACGTCCGCACTCTGCCACGAACCACTGGCAGGATCCAGCAGGGGGGTGGCAGTAATTTGAACGACACGGTGCTCATCAGTTTCATCTGCTTGTCACCTTTCACAACAATGTCCATGATCGAAAGCGGCAAAGAACGGGGGGAGGCTGTTGCTCAATCATGTTACTGCCAAATTAAGTATACCTTACCTGAGGGCACAACGTCTGTGAAACTCAAGGGTGTTTTCGGTGATGTCGTCGCCTGCCAGAGTCTAGCTGATTCAAAATGACAATGATGCTGGTAGCATGTTCTCCTAGGTCTCTTTCTTCCGGAAATCAAAGATGTAAAATGGTCCTTGATCAGTTATTTCACCTTAGATCCTGTCACGGTCTTGTCAGCAAAGATAGAACGTGATGATCAAGGGAGATGAAATTTCTCCTGTGACTGTCGTCCGTAAGGACACTGCAAGAAGATACATGAGGTAATTTCCATACAACATCCTTCCCATATAACCCAGGTCGGTATCTGACCGCTCTCTCGTGAGCTAATAAATTTTCTGCTTCAAGAAAATCCGAAATATAGGTTGAGTAAAGACTCCGCGAAAACACCCCCCATCTACCAAACATTGCAAAAAATTGGGAGATGCCGGGCGTGCCCACAATCAATCACACATGCGGCCTTTCGTCGGCTAGACAATTACGGACTGCATGACGCAACGTAAGCCCATGGGATTTTGATTCAGGTCAAAGTGAAGGCGAACAGCCTCTATTCCACTGGCTTCGCCATCACCATTCCGAACTTGAAGGAGATACATACTCAGTGATGATTCTAGACGCTGGAGGAATCTGATAAGCCTTTGTACCAGTGAACCCGGCGATTGACGATGGATCTTAGAGTATTCCGGAGGTGGGTCGCGTGCCGATAGTTAAGACAATTGACAGGCGACTCAAAGTACTTCCTGCGTGTCGGCAAAATTTTGTGATAGCTCAATCGATGAATTCCGATGGTAGCCAATGCCTGAGAGTTAGATACAGTTGTACGAGTTGTTGAAAATTGTTCACATCGAGAATGCGTAAGAGAGTAATACGAATTTCTTCCTTAAAATAGTTAGGCAACCTTCACAGGCCAAAAAATCAGCAGAATTGTAGTCAAAATGAAATTCAGACATACTTGACAATGTACCCCGAGCCAAAATTCCTAGCTCGCAGTCCAGGATCAAGGAAGCAAGCCAATTTAATTTGACACTATTCATCGTGAGACCGACCGCTCAAGCTTAAAAGTGGTGAATAGAGTCATCGAGTTTAACAACGCCAGCATCTAAGTCCTCAGTGATGATTGAGAAAGCACTCGACAGGCGTTACTCGAAAGGTGTTACTCGACAGGTGTTAACTTTTCAAAGGTAGCTGCGGATCGGAAAGCCATCCACAGTATTGAAGAAGCCTCGAGAATGGCCAAGGCGCCTTCGCAACTCCGGTCGAGTGGGTAGATGACGTCCTTCAGCGCTAAGCGGGCAGTCCAGGCGCGGAGTTTGTAGGATGAGCACCAATATAATCCAAAGTTGGTCTCACGTTCCCTTCAACGCGTTTGAGTGTACACATGTGGAAAGGTAGATCATTCTCCACCTTAAAATCGATCAAACTACAAGGGTAGTAGTCTTCATAGCGCCGGGGCTATGCGTCCACCCAATGGCTCCGATATGCCGTGGGAGGAAGTCAAGTAGAGGAATACAGAACATTCCGAGCCGTTGAAGAAGTAGACATCGGCGTACGGAGATGCAGGCCATATTCGAACCCCCAAGAATGGATGCCCAATGGATGCCAGCGATTGATCCATCTACAGGTTTCCTTGAATTCGGTTGACGCCCTTAGAATTACAAGAGCAATTAGACTGGAGACATGATTTGATGGCTGAATTGGGAGGAGCGTGAGTATCGTAAGGTTGCGATTCAATAATCGATACGTACGGTTGAAACTTGAGGAAACCCCATACGGCGATTGTTGTTCCAGCGTCTTCTAAACATCACACACAAAAATAAACGCACACTGAAGAATCTCGGCCCGACCCCGGGCTGCTCCTTTCGTCCGACGTTGATGCGTCCAAAAATCTTTCAGCAGGCATCAGGGACAAGTCACGCTCAGACTACACCCCAGAACATTCTCCACAAGGCTTGATTTTCACCGGATTAGACAGTTTGCGCAACCCTATCGAAGGACGACTTGGAATTCAATTTTTTCAAAGGCCCCTCCTTTCGACAGTCTCCACAATTGCACACCAACCCGGATTAGGGATTTCCAATCCTGCAGAACGGTAACTGCTATCAAGGCCTATTCTGTCTGCCAGGTCAACTCTCTACTTTTGGCCGGATCTCCGTGGTTCCAAATCCGGTCTGAAGTTAAATGCGGAAAGGGTGAACGGATGAAGGGGATCCGACAGGAGGCAAACTTTCACTGCGTCGTTCTACTATGGATAGGAGGTAAGTACGGTATTTGTACAATTTGAATAGACGGCTCATCTTCGTTTTTTGCTTTCCGAAGCGGATAATTTGAACGTTGATGTATGACGTGAGTTGCCCTACTTTCTTCTTCTCCATATGTTTTCAACGTTACATTTTAGCTTTATGTCGCTGCTTTTGATTGGACTACGTATGGGGGCGTAATTGTCCCCTTTCAATTGAATACTTCTTTACCAGTGGGTGTGTTGATCTTGTTAGCGCTTACTCAACCGAAAGGCTGAAGCTTTGAAGGTTGAACGTTGATTTGATTGATGTATCTTCTAGATCGTGATCATGGGTGATCCTTAGGTCTGCTCAGCAACTAGGCGATCCTGTGGCAATGGAGACAAGGGATTGCTCTTGATTGGCCTAGTTATCGAAATGTCCGACTGTTCACATTTTGAAAGGGGACAATCTAGGTCTGGGCAAAGCGACAGTGGCGTCGCCGCCTTGAGAGTTACTTGAGAGCCTGCCTGGTGAACAGGAGCTTGATTTATTTACACCTGGCATTGATGAATTATGTTGGCGCCTAACGGGTTCCCCTGCAAGCCATTGCCATTCTTGGACCCACATTTCTAGTTAACGTTTTTGGGGTCACCCTCCGAATTGTGAAGAAAAAAATCGAAAAAATTGAAGCCGACGGAGGCGATTCATTTCCGGAGGTGTGATATCGATGCCAACACTAACCTGAGCTCGTCGCGTGTCGTCCGTGCCGTCCTCCATTGTACAGTCAACCGCATCAGAATAAACTTGTACTTAAAGGAAAATTGGAGGGCAACAAATGTCGATCTCCGTAACAATGTTTATCGCCCGAATGGTTACTTCCTCGCGTGCCAGCCCTGTCGCGTGTCTGTGAGTCCACCATCATCATGCACCTTCCCCTTCCCTTTCTTAGAACTTAACCCTAGCAATACATTTCGAAGATATTATTTTACGGGTCACATGGAACGAATGAGCTGGCGGTGGCTGGGCGAACCAAGCAAACTTGATGCGCACGCCGTTTTCAGTAATCACTTTTTAGGATTGTCATTCACGTTCACGTTAGCAGTTACCATGGCGGAATCGGATGGATGAGTTGTAAGAAGCGTACGGCAATGGGCCTTTTTTAAAACTGCAGACGGTAGTTTTTCAGGGAATTGAGCTGTGGTGCTTGAAGCTCGCTCCCGAAGCGAGGAACGAGTGTAGGGTCAGAGTATAGTCTTTGAACGAACAGGTGGTGCGGCACGTGCCGCTCTTTCCTCCAAACCACCACATCGTTCGTTTTTCCGAAGGAGCATACAAGCTCCCTTCGTCTTTTTCAGTCCTTACTCTACCAATCCAACATTCCCTTTATCTACATTCCCTACTCCAGTTATCTAAGACATCCATGCCGCGAATTACCCAAGACCCTACAGGCCAGGCATGCCCTGACTTCACCAGCCCAACCCACGCCGCCGTAAGGCTTGCAATGACGGCAGGTGGAATCCTCAGCGACGCGGACGCAGCAGAACGCTTGGCGACAGCGTGGACCCAAATGCACACGCAGGAGGTCGACGCCTGGGAGGTACAAGCCCAGGCTGACGTGGCAGAACAAGAAGAACAGCGAAGGCTGGCAGACGCAGACGAGGAGAGGCTCAGAGCCGAAGACGAACGTCAGAAGGAAGACGAACGGAAGGAGCTGGAGAAGAAACGTCCGAAGATCAATGACTTCGACGACGACAAAATGGTAGGAGATTTCGTCATGCCCCGTCCGTCACAGTTTGCTGTCGGCAAGTTGAAGTCTTACAGCTTCATCGAACTCTGGTACTTCACCGAGGAAGGTTGCTCTGAGGCTCAAGAAACCAACAGGACCCTACCGGAAGATGCATACGGCATCACGCGGGTCGACGACCTAGTCGCTTTGAAGCCGGTCACCGCCTTTAAAGCCTCGAAAAACGCCATCCCCGACGCTGACCTCACCTGGAGGCAGATGAACATCGGTAAGAACACCATGCTCCGTTACATGGAAACATGCGACTGGCCCCGGAAGCACATAGAGTCGTTTGCCAGGTTTTACTTACATTTAGAGCTCGACCCGATGCGTTCGCGCCCCAATGGAGAACGGGTACTGCTCACCTACCAGGCTAAGGTCAGACGCCAATGGCACGACGACCTCTCTCGAGGCCAAGGCTTCAACATAGCCCAGATAAACCACACGCTCCTCGCGTCCGTCGCTGAGGAGGTATGGGACACGATACGTTTAGACGCCATGAGGAAGGTTAGTAATTTATTCATATGCTTATGAGACCGCTTCTAACAGTCTTTACCCATCTTCCCCCTCCCATTCCTCCCTTTTGTATCACAACCCGCAAAATGCAATGCCAATGCCAATGCCAATCGCCACACGACCTTCTCCCTGTTGCCAACCTCACGCCAAAAACAACACCATGCCCCATGCCATCCTGCGCACTCCACTACGCGCTCACAAACGGCCAACTGCCATTCCATGCCAATCGCCACGCCATGCCACGCCATACCACCAACCATGCCTACCATGCCACGCCTCGCCAAAAGTTTGACGCCGTGATGCTATCCCCAACCGTTGACCGGGACAGATCGAAGAGATCCTCCCCGCACAAACGAGGTCGCGCCCATTCCCGATCAGGCGCACCTTCGCATTCACGCTCCCGCTCCCGCTCGTTTTCCCCATCCCGCCAGCGCAGGCGCCGTTACCCCTCCCCAGACCGCACCTACCGAAGCCCCAACCCTCGGCGTAGCCATCGCAACCCGAGCGGTAGAGAGAAAGGGAAAGGAGGCGACCAAGCATTTTTTCAGAGGGGCACAGCGGCGCGTGGCGGCTCCGCCTGTGCCGTCTGTTTGGGACGCCACGAACACGAGTTCGGCAAATGTTCAGCCCCCAAGCTTTGGAACGGGGGCAAGACGTGGGTTCGCCGAGGCGAGAATGGGAGACTCGTCTCCTTGGACGGCCTCCCCATCTGCTTCACTTTCCAAACCCCTGCTGGGTGCTCAGACACCACACACCCCACGAGACACACGTGTTCGGGGTGCGGAAAGTCGGGCCACGGAGCCCAGCTCTGTCCTCTTGTCCAGAAAGCTTAACCCACTCACTCCCTACAACTCAGATGTGTGGCTCGGACAACTCAAATACTATAGTCTTCTTGACAAGTACCCTAGCCTGTACCATAGTCTCACCCAGGGCTTCAGCTTTGGCATCCCTAGCATATCCCAAACTTACATCCCTTCTAATAACCCTTCTATCTGTAAATATCCAGAAGCCTACAACGAGATCGTGGAAAATGAATTCAGGAAAGGAAGATACATCGGGCCCTTCTCTCAGGCTGAGCTCGAGGCCCTCATTGGCCCCTTCCAATCATCGCCCCTCTCCCTGGTTCCGAAACCAGGCAAACCAGGCAAATTCCGAGCTGTCCATGACTTCTCCCACCCCCACCTGTCCGGAAAAAGCACTACCCTCTCCATCAATTCGGCTATTAACTCACATGACTTCCCATGTACCTGGGGGACCTTTTCAACAGTCTGCCTTATCATTTATCGACTCCCCCCAGGCTCCCAAGCATCCATTCGTGACGTTTCGGAAGCGTACCGCACGATCCCGGCTCATCACCAACAATCGCCCGGTTTGGTGGTACGCCTCAGGGAAGAGGATAGTTTTGCAGCAAACATCAACAATAACTTCGGACTTACTTCAGCAGGTGGAGCACATGGCCACCTCGCGGATGCAGGGTCCGACATCATCCGTGCAAATGGGATGGGCCCACTATCAAAGTGGGTCGATGACCACATCTTTTTCCGGATCCCCCGCCTCCATCTCCTTGACTACAACGCCCAACGCCACGTATGGCACCAAACGGTCATGCACAACGGTGGTCAGATCCACGAAGGGAGCCGTCTATGGTTCAGAGGTGACACTATGGAGGACGGACGGCCAGAAGAGTTTGACGAGGATATGGCCTTCCCTCTGCGCGACCTTTCGTGCTCCTCTCCGCGCTCCCTCACCGACGCGCTTTTCACTTACGCTGATGCCGACATTAACCGCATATCCGACATACTCGGAATACCTTGGGAGTCATCCAAAACAGTGCCATTCAGTAACGTTGTCACCTACTTGGGTTTTATTTGGAACCTCACTACTCGTACAGTGGAAGTACCCCCAGAGAAGAAGCGCAAATACCTCGAGGCAATCGAGGAATGGCAGAAGAAACCGCGCCACCCCCTGGTGGAGGTACAAAAGCTCTACGGAAAGTTGCTCCACACCACCCTGGTTGTGCCAGCAGGACGAGCATACCTCACAAACCTGGAGGCCATGCTTGCCCTTTTCCACAATCGCCCTTTCGTGCCACACTCCCCACCCCGCGATACGCCTCACGACCTTAACTGGTGGGCCAAGCTCCTCAAATCCCCAATCCTGTCCAGACCCATCCCAGGCCCCACACCCCTCGATGACGCTCACGCATTCTCAGATGCCAGCTCGGGCTTTGGCATTGGCATCACCATTGGCGAGAGGTGGCGGGCTTGGCGCCTACTTCCAAATTGGAAGTCAGAAGGCCGGGACATCGGATGGGCTGAAGCAATTGGTTTCGAGCTCCTGGTGCTCACCATCGTCTCATCCAGCAGCAGCGGCATTAATTTCAAAGTCTATGGAGACAACAAAGGTGTGGTTGAAGGATGGTGGAAAGGTCGGAGCAGAAACAAGCCAACGAACCTGGTCTTCCGCCGCGTTCACACCCTCATGCGCGCCAAGCAGTCTTCCGTACACACAAGATATGTTCCGAGCAAGGAAAACCCAGCTGATGGACCCTCACGAGGCATATACCCAGCCACTTCACTCCTTCTGCCCAAAGTTCCCATCCCCCCAGAGTTACACGAGCTCATCGCTGACGTCGACTATGGGGCCACCACTCCTCAGCACGACCCACCGGCTTTTCTACCCAAGCCCAGTCGTCTGCTCTCCGATAACGAGCGTGCTGCCGTCAACGCAGAGCTTGACCGCCGCGGGGAGGAGCTCTTCGCTTCCAATCCACAGAGCAACCTCTGAGCGGCGTCCATGGCATGTCCCTCTTCCCCCTCTCGCTTCAAAGAACCGCCAACGGCCCACACCCTATCGCAAAAACCTCGAACCCCTGCCTTCCCCACTCCGCCCTCACTGCCCAGCTAATCAAAGGCTGCGTATGTGGCGCCCCCTCGTCCCTCGAGCCCTTCGAACCTCGCAGCTCACCGACGAAGATCTTGATCGAATAGAGACGGTCATGGCCCGCGCCTGGGAAGTGGACACCCACGCATCATATGCGTCCGGCCTCCTCAATTTCATCGTTTTTTGTGACAAGAAAAACATACCAGAAGAAGACAGGGCCCCAGCGAGCCACGTCCTCCTCCTATCCTTTGTGTCCACCCTCGCAGCGGCATACTCAGGCTCAGCCATCAGCAACTACCTATATGGTATACGTGCATGGCACACACTCCATGGAATCCCATGGAGACTCGAGAAGCTGGAGATGGACACCATCCTGAAGGCTGCAGAAAAGCTGACTCCCCCATCCTCGAGGCGGAAGAAGCGGCGCCCCTACACCATCGACTTCATGTCAGCCATACGACAACACCTGGACCTGCAAAAACCCCTCGACGCTTCTGTTTACGCATGCTTAACCACCTGCTTCTTCGCGACCGGGCGTGTGGGCGAGTTCACGGTACCGAAGCTAGATGGCTTCGTCCACGAGACCCACGTATCGAAGTCCAGGCTCTCTTATGACCAGTCAAGGGAGGGGTTACAGGTAACAGTCCTGCACATCCCTCACACCAAGATAAACCATCGGGGAGAGGATGTCTGTTGGGCCAAACAGGAGGGACTCACCGACCCAGATGCAGCCTTAGCACACCACCTTGAGGTCAACAACCCCCCCAACAATGCCCATCTATTCTCCTACCGCTACAAAACGGGCCACCGGCCCCTCACGAAGTCAAAGTTCATCGCAGAACTCGCGAAAGCTGCACGGGCTGCCGGATTAGAACCTCTGCAGGGCCACGGAATTAGAATCGGTTCCACTCTTGAGTACCTCCTACGAGGCATGCCCTTCGACGTCATGAAGGTGAAGGGTCGATGGTCCAGCGATGCGTTCACCCTATACCTTAGGAAACATGCGCAAATCCTCGCCCCGTATATCCAAGCTGTGCCAGCAGTGCAAGACACGTTCACCCGTTTGACAATGCCAGCCGTGCGATAAAATGGTAAGCCAAAGTCTTTCCTAGAATTTGGGGTCCGAGACTCACTCGCCGCGTCAAGACTTCAGGTTCCATGGGTGTCGCAGCTCGTCTCAGACAGCCCTCGAGGAAGAATCCTTTTCGGGTCGGAAAGCACTGCGTGCTTTCGCCCAATTGCTTGCCCAGCAAGCCATACCTCCATTCTTACAATTACCATCTCTACTCAGAAACATAGTTTATCTACTAGCTAATTATCAATAACTCGTTACACCGTAAAGACCAAGTCTTGTGTGAATTTGCAAGCAACACGGTGAAACTCAAAGATTGAAGCTCGCTCCCGAAGCGAGGAACGAGTGTAGGGTCAGAGTATAGTCTTTGAACGAACAGGTGGTGCGGCACGTGCCGCTCTTTCCTCCAAACCACCACATCGTTCGTTTTTCCGAAGGAGCATACAAGCTCCCTTCGTCTTTTTCACCCACCCACCTCTCCCTAATATTAATTACAGGTTCCGTTGACCGGAGACGGAAACTCTCTCGAGGCATGTCCGCTCGCAGCACTGCACTGGGCCCACCCGCCCGTCGCAGCTCGTCTCAGACAGCCCTCGAGGAAGAATCCTTTTCGGGTCGGAAAGCACTGCGTGCTTTCGCCCAATTGCTTGCCCAGCAAGCCATACCTCCATTCTTACAATTACCATCTCTACTCAGAAACATAGTTTATCTACTAGCTAATTATCAATAACTCGTTACACCGTAAAGACCAAGTCTTGTGTGAATTTGCAAGCAACACGGTGAAACTCAAAGATTGGGCTTAATGACGAATTCGAACATTTCCTATCGGCTCCAGCCTCCAAGACCCTTTTACTGATGTGAAATCTTGTGGAATTTGATCAACAAAGGAGCCAGTTTTCAACTACTTACTGACTGCGCACTTGAAATACCGAATATATTTGTTACGTGACAAGGACAATTCTAATCCCTGTGCTAAGAACGCGTCAGGTTAGAGCCTTTCAAATGAGGAAGCTGAAGCACCTTTCTGTATAAATGAGTAGTGACCATCGGATTCCACTACTCTTCCTTCCCTGGAGCGCTTTTACTGTATCTGTGACTTAGTGTAATGTAGGTGGAAGGTTGTTTGTTCTTGTTCGCCACCACCATCTTTGAACTGTGCATTGACTCCGGCAGAGATCGGAAATACGAAGATCTCAATTCTCGGCAAGTTATTTTTTTTTCCCGTGCAGTCAAGCCAGCTCGTCATCAGGATTGGACTAGAAAACGCCCTGAAGGATCTTTGTGACCCTGGACGCTTGTGGTGGCGATGACCCCCGTCCAAATTCAGCAGCAGATCTCTTGTCTTCAGGTACACACGCATGTCATTCGTCAACTCACTCGCTTTGTCCTTGACACTCGTCTACCGTTGCCGACCGAGCATATCATCTGTCCTGTAACGGTAACGGGCCCCAGCAGACGAGAAAGGAAAGGAAGTCGAAGGTTCGCGCAGGCAGGAAGGTTGAACCACGTCCTTTTTCGGCAACGGCACTCGTCTTTTTTTTTTTTTTGCGTTGATCACGTTCTTGGTGGCACCGTTCGACATCCTGGCTCCCTGGTCCGGGTTTACTGTCTTAGCCTGAATCTTGACTCACGAATTATGCATGTGTCCGTTTTCGGATTGCCTTAGTACCCACGTCACGACAGCATGCTTCCGGATCCCGCGCCCTTGAGGCTTTTCGTGAATTGATTTGTTGTCTAGGTTGTTTCGTCTCTGAATGCACTTGAGGCGCCGTCTTGACATCTCTATAGGCACACGAGACGATGCCGGCATGATTCAGAGGCCTGCTTCGTCCTCACTGGCATATCTATCATGATCATATCACTGCAGGGCTGCTAACTCTTCGGCACCTCTCAGTATGCAGTCTTCAAAGGAAGGATCATGAAACCTACTGAGAGCTCCAATATCACTAGGTTAGGCATGTGCTACTCCTAGTGTTATCACCGCCCTCTTCGACCCTCTCTTGCTACCGAACGCGGCGTGCGACTCAGATCTTGCAGGCTGCAACACACCTCTCACGTAAATCAAAGTCAACCTTGTGTTTAACGTTGACGCTGACCTAGAGCTGACTGACCTTGCGAGGCCGCTCCTAGTGACATCATGTACCCTCAGTTCAATGTACTGGTCCTGGCAAGACTAGTGCTCCATCCATTATCGGATCCTTCATTACATCAACGCTTGTTTTGGAGGAACAATATACCCCACACCCCTTGTGGCGCGTGACCGACATCGCGCCGAACAACACACTCCTTCCGTCCATTTGCTGGTCTGGTTCTGTTCGTTTTTTGTTTCCGTTGTTCGCCCTTCTTCTGCAGGGTATTCACCTCCGGATGCCAGATTATTTTTCTTGTAACGTCATGTCTGCTCTCAATCCCCGCCTGGGCTCTCGGGCATTCTGCTCTGCTGGACCGCGCACAGAACGAATCACAAGAACCTTGCCGTATGTTACCAATGGTCCATCAACGTCGCTCTTGATTCGTTCGACGGCCTCATACTTTCTTCCATTTCGATTCTATTTTTGGTTCTATTGGTGACCCTCCGTCGATCCACGACGATACGTACGCTAGGGCCGTTCACCTTGCCGTCTGCCCGAGTTCTCAGTTCTTGGGATGGCTGAACTTCATACCATCACAAAACAAAGAAATCATGACAAAGGCCTGCCTGCCGTATTGTTTTCCAATGGTCCCTCAGCCTCGTTTCAGTTTAATTTATTCGACGCGGTGGGTCCGTCAGCCACGCGCTTCTGCACCCTGGCCGTGACTGGCTCTTTTCGCGAAACTCTCTGGCTGGGCCAGTGTAAGACCATGCGCCTTTACTCCGTTATGTTGTTCACCCTTTTCTCGACGCTGCGTGCGCAAGGCCCTCCCGCCAAACCTCGATGTAACGATACGAGCGGACCATCAACTTCGTTTTAATTTAATTTATTCGACGAGGTGGTAGCACATCCCGGTTCGAGTTCTGGTGTTGTTCCTCTCTCGACCTCGAACCTGGAACGTCCCTCGGATCTCATGTCGTCGTTTTTTTGTTTGGCTATTATGCTCCCCTCAAATCCCCACCCTCGTGCACTTCTTTCCGCCAGGCCGTACCTTCGCACACCTTGGAGGACATCTTGTCGTGCCTTACCCTTACCATCATTGCGACATGCCATTCCGATGGGTCATCAACACACCCTGCCGGTGGTCCATACCTCACTGATGGTCCATCAACATCGGTTTTTAAGCCCATCAACTGTTTAACCGTTTCAATCGCTCGACGCGCCGACTCCGAGTCCGTTGACTGCGCGCCTTCCTTTTCCTCCTTCCTTCCTTCTGGCCCTGGCTCTCTTGGTTGACCCGACTCGCAAAGGATGTGACCCGCGTAGGATGGGAATCGGGTGAACGTCGGACGTCGACTGCCACATGGTCTTGTTTGCCGTAAGCTTCCGTCGTATCGTTGGAGCGTTTACTTCGTCTCGGAGGGGTAAACAAACTTCTCCTTGCTCAGCGTACGCGGCGCCTTCGGCTTCCTTGCTTGGTCCTCCGGAGTGGATACTAGATAGTGATCTTGTTTACTTGTTAATACAACAACACGGCAAATCCTACCGTGCTCCATTCTTGACGATGGTCATCCTTTCCTTACCCAGTAAGCAGGTCCACTCCACGTTCTATTTCTGTACGCACAAGGCTGGAGCCGTGTTCATGGGTACAATAGGAACGATAATAAAATAACATACACAATGCCGTCTTAGATTGATCATTGTTCCATGATAGACTTTCATTCTTGTTACCTGTGTGAAGAAGACTACAGCTATCCCCCCTTTCCCGCGATCGTTGTAGGTACGCAGTGCTGCGGCTGGGACATAGAACGGCGCAATCAATAGCAACGGAGTTTACGTCGACGGCTGGCTATGGGGGGTTCGCCCCTTGGCGGCAAACGGATTACCCTTCTTGTTGGCACAAAATGAATTGACAAGCAGCTCAACTTCGTCGTTTTTTTTTTGTTTAAAAAAAAAAAAACAGACACGACGCTTCACAAGTGCACGGCGGCGTGAAATTTACAGTAGTACTAGGGTGGCGCGCGACTATACTGACCATTGATTCTAGGTGCGTCCTTGAAAAATAACGTTGATAATGGCATACTAATTGTTGTGGTTGGGTGAGAGAGTAGACGGGATATGTACACGGGTTTGCGTATGTCGCTACCCACAGAATAAGTTGTGTACTTGTTTTAGAAAGTAGAATATCAATCGGAGTAGAATAATACTTAAAAGTTGTGTGCGTTGCGTTCTTTCCTTTCATATTACCCAACATAGCTTATAAGTACTGCGGCCGGCCATATTGTGTTGGTAGCAGCAAGCTTCCGTGAATTTTGAACGCGACTGAATTTAATCCCAGCATTTTTTAAAGGTTGGGTAATCCTACGTATACACAGGATTTTTGATCCCGGATTGTACCACATTTTTCTAGGTGCGTCGTGAAAAATAACTTATGGTGGTTGGCGACCGCACACATGGATGCACTTACGTGAATTCTAAATATGCAAAGCGACGTGAAAAGGCGTCAATTTTATGAAGTACACACGATGTGAATTATATGGTAGACTGCCGTGTGAAGAACTCATTCATCGATTCAAGTTGTAGGCGTGTTTATTTCTTGCTCCGGTTTACGTCTACGATAGGTATCTACGGGGCAGTTTGCAATACTTATTAATTTGATGATGGGCCCGGGTTTGTGTGAAATTCACAAGTGCACGGCGTGAAATTTACAACAGCACTTGGATTCCTTTTGGGCACGACCATGCTTCCAAATTATTACTGGGACCGTGGAATGTTGTAATGGCAACCAACCCTATGTTCTTTGAATTTTTACCACTTGACGATTGTGCTTAACCAAGCTTAACCATTGTGCACACTTAGGTTCGGCGGCCTCGCGTCGAGAAGGGAAACGGGGATTACCGACAATTTATTCATTTATTTTTGGTTTTGAAATTTGGTGGTCCGTTATCAGGATCCGAATGCGATTTCCTCGGCTCAACATAATTCTTGCCGGTTCACAGCGACGTGAGTCACCCACTGATCGTTATTTTATTTTATTTAGGAGAGCGGCTAGATCCGATTCATCATATAGGGTTGATTCAGACGCCACAGAAGTGTGCGCACGTGATGTATGTAGGGAAGGATAAGGGAAAGGCTATGGGGATTCCCTGGGGAATCCCGTCCTAATTGAGCAAGTGAACAACGGAGTCGGGCTGGTTGAGTCAGTTGCAGCGTGACAACGAATTGGATTGAGTCGGGGGTCACAGCGCGTGAAAAGACGTATTCGTTCCCCTCTCTTTGAACGCGTACCAAACGCAGATTCCGGTTTTAAAAAAAAGTGTTTTAAATATGATGGACTTGTCTTTGCTCTGCTTGGATGGCCCCTCACTCGACGACCGACTTTTACAACAACAACCCATGTCGGCTCTTGATAACTCCTCCAATGTCCCCGTCAGACCTTACCCTTCCCCCCATACACCCGCCCAAACCAGACAATGACATATTCCTCCTGCCTAAACCAGAGTACCCCGTCGACTGGTTAGACTTTACAAGAACTCGCTCAGCTCACTCTATAGCTGAAAAGACATGCGAGATGATATGTTACCTCTGGTTCTCCTCTCCCTCCCGGTCCCGCTCCAACCACCGACCACCCTACCCAACACCCAACAACTCCCCCTCCTCTTCACCGCCCACCACCACCCTCCAACTAGTAGCCACTTCGACCTTTGTGCAGTTCCTACAAAAGCTACTGGAGACGACCCAGGTGTCTCAAAGCGTCATCGTGCTATCGCTGCATTATATATATAGGCTGAAAGAGCGGAATCGGTTCACGCCTGCACAGTCTGGAAGTGAGTTTAGGATTGCAGTTGCTGCGCTGATGATGGCCAACAAGTTTTTGGACGAGTACGCATTTCCATTTATTCTTTTTTTCTCTTTGTTCCAATCTGACACCCACATAGCAACACATACACGAACAAAACATGGTCCGAAGTCTCCGGCATCGATCTGGAGGAAATCAACAGAATGGAGAGGGAATTCCTCCTCGGCGTCGATTCAACCTCTACGTCGATAAACCGACTTATGAATCATGGTTAAACCTACTCAAAGGGCTCGTATCAGCGAAAGAGAGGGATTGTCAGAGGTTCCGAAAGACACGAAGGTCGCTTGCTCCGGGTCCTTCTTCATCCATGAGTCCGAGGTATAAGATGGGACTGGGACTGGGAACGACGCGCGCAAGGTCTACTTCGCCGAGCAGTAAACCCGTTTCTTCATATCATTCCACTACCTACGTTCAAAGGCATCGCCAACGGGAACAGGAACAGGCGTACCCTACCCCAGCTACATCGACTTCGTCAAATTGCCCCTCACCCACACCTAGACCTGGTTCGAAACGGAACGCGGCGGTGGCGTTTTCCCCCACGAGTGCTTCGTTTTCGCATTTACCGGCAAAGAGGCCTTTGTCGGAGTATACCGCCAACACCACTTACTCTTCTTCTTCTACTTTTACACCCTCCTCGAGCACCAACAACAATACGTTTACCCCCTCCTCCGTCTCTACCACACCCTCGAGGGCACCACAACCACAAAGACCAGGTCTTCAAATACCCGAATATAGATCGAACGGAAGCGCGCCGAACAGTTATAGTCCGCTTGAAGGCCTACAAAGCTTTGTCGAAAAGATGTCGATTGGGGCGTCGCCTGGGTTCGGTGTACCTCATTCTTCATCTTCCACCCAACCTCCCCACTCCTACCCCTCCCAAACCCAAATCCCAACGACGTTAATAGCAGCATACGCACACGACGAACAAAGGCGGTCTGCAGCTGTCCCGCAGAATTTATATTTTTATACGTTGGCGTGTTCGCCTGTTGAGGAGCGGGAGGTTTGTTTGCCTCTTGACGGGGGTGAGGCGGAGCAGGAGGGGAGGGTAACGAGGAACTCGAAGACCCGGTTGAGGTATCACCAGCCTCAGCCCTCTTCCTCTTCTACTGCTGGGGGAAGACACGCAGGGGTTGGATATGGGGATGAGTATCCGAGTGCTGCTAGTGCGTTTACTGCTGCTTCTCGCGATCGTGGGGTGTCCTATGGGGATGTGAGGATGGGAGCGGGAGCGGGGTATAGGTTCCCGCAAGCGGTACAGAGTGCTTCTACGAGTCCGAATGATTTGGATGTGAGGAGGGTTGGAAGGAGGATTGGGGTTCCTCAACGGCAACAAGGACAACAGTATTCGCCGCAGAAGTCGTTCACGCAACAACGTTATTCGCCGGGGTATCATTCCCACTCTCAGCAGGCTTCGCCGCAGTATCATCAACCCCCACCTCCGACGACGACGATTGTTCAACATCACACGCAACAACGGGTACAGCAGGGGACGTGTTCGCATCATTCGTCGCCTTTGTATCGACCTTTGGGTTCTTCGCAAAGCCAATATCATCAGGCTTCGAGTCGGGGGACGTCGCCTCAGCCTTTGTATCATCATCACCACCAACCACCTCCACCTCCACAGCAGCAGCAGAGACATTCAAGTTCTAGTTCTAGCTCTAGGCAGATACAGCAGAGTCAGGGACTACCACGGTTTCACGATAATGTGTGGAATACGCAGCCTGCTGTTGTCGCTCCTCCCCCTCCTTCTCATTCTTTCCCGCTAGAAGAGGAGGAGGAGGAAGTGATGACGGCGAGACAGGAGGTGTTTGCACCTGCGCCGAAGTATGCTTTGCCTGTTTCGTTGCATGCTGGTGATGAGGTGGAGATGGATGGGGAGGAGGATGATGATGAGATGGAGGAGGAGGGTGACGACGAAGAGATGGAGGAGGATGGGGATGATGGGGAGAGGGAGTGGTCTCATCAACAACAACGGCAGCGGCACGATCCAACGACAGCGACGTATCCTCCCAATCACTCCAACGAATCGACGGGTTATGAACATCATCATCACAAGGCTACGGCTGCGACGTTTGCGAATGCTGGTCCGCCTGGGGTGTGTTTTTATCCTACGCCTTCGTTGAGTGCGTATACGTATCCTCCGTATGCTGCTGGGCGTCAGTATTCTTCTGGTCGGAGGTGGTGACCCGCTGTTGGGTTGGCTCATATTCATTCATTCATTCGTTTATTCTTTCTTTCTCCTCTCCTTTTTTTTTCACCCCGCTCTACATATGGACTTCTGTCTTTACAATTGCATTTGCATTTTTTACTTTAAGAACTTTTCAAGTAACCCTAAGTACTATACGATATTGGCTATTATCACTCACTACAAACTACACGACTTACTTTATTCCAATTGGCGTTCGTACATACAGCATTAGCATCATACTGCATCATTAGCATTTTCATTCATACGCATTCAGCATTTGGCATTACATTTTTTACATGACTTTGCATACCCTCTGAGTAGTCAGTCTACACCAGATCTATTGGACGTGCACTGAAAATAGCTATCAGAACACCCAAGGGATACAGAATCAAATAACCGCTTTATCCTGCGAGGCCTTTCTGCCATCGATGATACATGTCTACAGGCGACCTTGACGCCTCATTCTTTTGGAGTTGAAGTGGTGCCACTTGGTTGCGGTGGGGGAATTGAAATTGAAGCCAACTTGGGATCCGATGCTGGCGAGACCCGACTATATGATATTGGCTCCATATTGTCTTCATTCATTCCTACATTGTTACTCAGCATACCGTCTAAAAAGAAATTGAATGTAGAGTGGTGCCACTTTGTTGCGGTCGCGGGGAATTGAAATGGGATCCCGATGCTGCGTGAACTCATTGACGTTACGTTAAGATTATTCGAGAATGGAGACGGCGCACGAGTCGGCGATTATTGATTCAGAAGTAGGGTCAATACGGATCTGGGCGACGGGGGACGTACTCCCGCGCATCATGCGCATAGCGATCATGAAAGAAAGAATTTTCTTTGCCGGGAATAATTTCGGCCTTAGTTCAAAGTTGATTCTGCCATGGACCTTTTATTTTTATTTTTATTTTGTATTGGGTGGGCAACACCTTCACCCTGGCTTGGAACGCGGGTGGAACAATGGAATGGCGTAAATGAGAAAATATGAGAAATGATACACTCAGAAAGGAGTTGGGTTTGTACTAGGACATATAATTCAATCGACCCGAGTGCTTAGTGCAATATAATGATCAAGGATGCCTGAGACTCCGAGTCGTAGTGACCTGACCTAGTGACGACCTGCACGCCTGAGTGAAAAGGAGTGGATCGCCGACCGGCGTTCTCGATTCTTGCCCTAATAATTACCCGACGGACGGACGCTTTCACGAAATTATAATTTACCTGTTTTTTGGGGGGCGTGCGCGTACCTTTCGAGATGTGAATAATTTAGAACTGGAGTACGTATGGGTTACTTAGGTTATGCACCTGCAGAGAAGCCGATCGGTCGTTATATATCAACCCTCCCCTCCATCCGAGGAACTCCAGTTGGCAAGAAGAAGAAGACGAGTAAGGGTTCAGGAGGAAATTTGAATTTGAAAAAAGAGAAAAAAGAGTGTTGATTTACGCATACGCATGATCAGGCTGAGGGATTGAAGCTATCGTCAGGCTAATTCTATTCTATCCTACAATGAACGTTCGTTGTTGTCAAGTGGCGCCGCCGCTGTTGGGAATGAGAATGGAAGAAAGGGTTGGGCGTTGATATGCATAAACCAAGAGGAAAAACTTATTTTACTGATAAAGGGACCTTCGGGCTGTTTGCCGTGTTAGATTGGGTGGGTAGATTGCGTACGTTCTCGTTGTGGTGTGTGGGTAATCGAATAGAAGTTCGCGGGAGGGATAAATGAAATTTGATAGTAATGTGGGTTTTCGATAAGCGTTCAGTTCGTGTACTAGGAGTTGAAATTGAAGCACAAGATCATAGGATGTTGGATAAACTGGACGAATCAAGTGCTTGGTGTCGTAAACGGGTGCCTGTGCTCGGAAGTCCAAGGCGAGGGGAGGCAGTGGTGGCTGAATCATGGTGACACGTACACCATGGCCACAAGGGAGAGGAGCATCAGAAACGGGAAAAAAAACACAGATCTCGGACTCGGAGGCGCGGATGATTAGCTTCGGTGATTGTGGGTCGCACCATTGAACGAGCAACCAGGTCCCTGAGAGTTATTAGGGGGGAGAAGTCTGCAATGAGGGAACAAACCATCGGAACAGATGCGCGCGCTGTGAAACCTTGAAATGCCGTCATATTTGAATATGTATGTCAAAGCGAAATGGTAACTGTTCAAAGACAAACACATGGATTAGGATGGAGTTGACAGTGATGGCGCTGGGTTGCAAGTGGGATGCAGGGACGGGCATGCACGAACTCGGCCGAGTCAGGAAATCAAATTTCTTTGTGGCTGCGACAGGCGACTACTGCGTCCTAGATGTATAGTTTTTTTTTTACTCAGGTTGAGTGGGGCTCGGAGTTCGGCGTTTCGTTAGTCCTGGCCCTTAGTCGCGCTTCCTCTGCGTGAAGTTGGGCGATGTGCGCAGTCTTGAAAGCCTGTGTGAAATGATGATTACTTGTCGGACACGGCGCGTTCTTGCGTGCTCACCTCCGTGAAGAAATACCCGGAAAGAATCCCAGTGACTGTGAGAACAAAGGTAAGCAAAAACAAGCGCGCATAGAACGGAATTATTTGTAAAACCAGAGTCGTAATACTTACGAACACCACAGAAGATTGTTTTGTTTCTGCTGAAACCTAAAAGCCGTTGCCCCAAGACAGCTGACACAAAGGAAAAGTTAGGAGATGAACTTGCGATGCCTTCTATAGGATACTCGCCTGATGCTAATCCGCCAGTAAGGCCTGCAAATACACCTTCTTTTCTCGCCTCCTAATACGTGGCGGCGGTTCAAATATCAATTTTCAAACGGATAATAAACATACCAGGGTGACGATATCAATTGCATTGGGAGGCAAGCCAGGCGTTGTCGGCTCAGTTTTGGCTTGACTGTCCTGGTCCATGACAAGTACTATAGCTTCCGTGCAGTAAAAGTCAAGTAAAAGTGAGCTTGGTTCGGTGGCTTGCTCACGTGTAAGTCGCGTCCTGTCACAGGTTGTGTGACAAACCCTTCCTCAAGCGCGTTTCTCAACGTCGTTCATCTCCGACTCCGTGGTAAAGAGCGCGTATTCCGATTACCTATCACGATGTCGACGCGCAAGAAGAAGTCTATAACAAGCCTGCAGCAGATCTATGATTCAATCATGGGTGAAGTTGACACTCGGGCATACACAACTGAGACTAATCTTCCTTGTAGAACTGCTATTGAAGGTCAAGCCCATGCTCGATAACCCAAAGGAGAACTGGCGTGCTGCGGTTGAGGATCTCAATCAGGTAGCTTCTCTGGCAGAGTCATTCTCGGACCAACGCCCAAGGTCGAGCAAGAGCTGGAGCCATCTGGCCGACTCGCTGGATCAGGAAGGTGTGTTACCTTTGATTGGTGCTTGGCGCGTGCGCTTAATGAGGGATGAAATAAACAAGGTGTTAATCTATGGAACATATCGGGTTTGATTGGAAAGTGCGAAGGGGACGATGCTCGCGCCCATCTTGCCGCCTGTGAGTTCCGCCATCATGAGATACTGAATGGTGTACGATCGTTCCGTTGTGGATCTAGTGAGACTTGCGGCGTTTCGCCTTGTCGAGGCAGGGTTGGAAACAAAGCCTGGGATAGAAAGTCCGTTGTTCCTGTCCATCGATTACTAGGGTTTCCTACAAGGCGTCTCCTACAGGTCTCCTACATGTGCTTCAATTGGCAAGCAAAACTGCGGTAACCCTTTCCGGTGCGTTGGATCGTTTCAATCGCCGCTCGTCCCGCAACACACCTTGTTCTTTCACCCCCATCAGAAGTTGGAAATAACGTTGTAGCTGGTTGCGTTTTGACAAGTGCGGCCAAGGTAATCAATATGTCACAGATCCCTTATCGACGCCTGATGTCAGGTTGCAGTTTGAAGAACTGTTGAGGAATGCAGGTGACCCGGACGGTACACATCAACAGTCCATAGCATGCGCGACTATTGTGTATCACTCCAGTAGAATGGAAGCGGTATGTTATTCATCGTTCACACGCCGATCACGAGATAAACCCTCATTTCACAGGCATGGAAAGAGGGTAATTATACTGTGGCAGAGTTTATGTCAAAAAAGATCACAGGTAAGCATTCTCCCGTTTAGGACGGGAGTAAATCACGTGTGAACATTCCAGGCGATCATCAACGTCTCGCCCTCCTACCTCCACACGACGTAAGCGAGGAGTACAGCCTGGTCCCAATAGTTACTAAGGGTCTGGAATTAGCGCGAACTTCTGGCGTACAAACTCCACCAAATTGGTAAATCACTGCTAAAGGAGCCAAGTGCTGAAGATGGCACCAAGCCAGCCGATGCGGTCGAGTGGTTGCAAAAGGCTTTCTCTATGGCAGATCAACTGGACGATACAGCAGGTTCGGGGGTTGTGGAACTCAAGGTACGCGAACCTCTGTTCCGCAGGTCTTTGAGCGTTTAAAGGACATTTCAACTCCGAAGATATCTCTATTACGCACGATGGGTACGTTTACGCGGGAGTAGCCGTGCGGATACCTTGACGCTGACCGGACTTGTTTAGCTAGGGCATATTTTGTATCGGAATCCTACGATCGTGCAGAGGCTGTTTTAAACGAGCTCCTGCCAACCATAGACGCATCTACAGATCACGTAAGTTGATAGTTTCATGAAAGGATAAGACATTTTTGACATACCTAATCAAGGCAAGTTCCGAATATCAAGAACTACGGTGGCTGAGGCTGGCTGTTCTGAAGAGGAGGAAAGCTGGCGATCCTGCTCTCCTTGATGGTATTCCATTCAACCTTCTCTCTATGTGGCTGAATTGCGCTGATATGAACAGCTTTCAAATCTATTATCGACCATATGGAATGGACGGAACCTAATATCACAGAGTTGGTCTTCGATTTCCATGCGGACATTACCTTGGTTTGCTTATAATTCAAATACTAGTGTCCTTCAGGATCTGAGAACGCTCAGCCATCAACAGTAGGTTTTTCAATAGATCGGAGTTAGGGTGTCATGGACTTAGGGGGCATACGCCCATATCTTCAGCGCCCTTGTTACCAACGTCAACTTGCACTGTCTAAGCCGTGCATTGCGGCACCATGAATCCGAAACAGACCACGTCGACCGATTGGTCTTGTCACTGATATTTCATTGTTCCAAGGACGACGATCATGCAAGAGCGATGAAAACCCTTGAATCCACATTCGCATGTAGGTAATCGCTTTTTCGTATAAACCCGTCATTTGACCCACACGTCCCCATCGGGCTGTGCTGTCCAGCCGTCTGTGAAGCCGAGGTAGTAGAGCTGCCACCCGTACCCACAACAGCATGCTTAACCGTACGTGATCTCGTGCCTTCCTTTCTAAGCCTGTGCCGTAGATCCTTTTTGACATTCTTAGCTGATCTGGCAATATGGGGGACGCCACTACAAGGCCAAGAGATGGTCGGAAGCGGCAGAATGGTATATTGCTGGCAGCCACCAACTGTTCAGAAGTCACGGTTTGTCAAGCAGCTCAAAGTGTTTCCGGAAGGCAGCACTCTGCTATATCGAAAAGAGAGAGTATGCCCATGCATCCACGGTCATCCGCCGTTGCCCCACCAATGAAGCGACGACCCATTATGTCATTTTTCTCACTGCTGTTCATCAAGGTTTGTAACTGACGCCAATTCAGATTATCAGGGCTAATTATATTCTGGATTATCGTAAGGGCTGGAGAATGAAGGTAAAGACATCAATTCCGGTTTCGCCTTACCTCAACGGGGAACATCGCAGCGATTCGAGCCATAAATGATATGCAGAAAGCTCCGGACTTCGACCGCAAGATGTTAATGCTAGCCACGCAGATTTCTCATCAGTCCGAGATGCGAACTCTACTGCTTTCAGTGCTGGAAGGCCTTCTAAAGACCCTGAAGGTGGGGTCTAGTGGAGATGTGGTGGTTCAAGCAATGACGTTAATTCGGTGTATCGTCAAACTCATCCTTCAACTCCTTGTTGAGCCTGTCGCAAACAGGTCAGGACTTGTTGTCACCGCCGAGAAAGCACTAACTCTCGTGTCGTCTCCAGACCTCTTTTGATTGACACCGTGGTAAATCATTACCGCACGGGTATGCTCCTGTCCAGTTCTCGCCGACAGCCGCCTGATACTCTCGAATCGTTTAGCCAGAATCCTAACGGCAGCCGCGTCGGAGCAAAGAGCGGTATCTCTAATCTTCAAAGATGTCTCATGGTTGTGGCGGACGGCTTATAATTGCGCTGTCCAAGGGTGTTCGGATTGGGAAAACGCTGGCGAACAGATCTCAGAGCTTTTTGACATCTCAAGAGAGGTAAGTCCTGATCAAACGATACACCCGAGCCGTTCCGACTGGTTTGATTCAGCTATTGGAAGCATGCTGTAATGCATCGCCAGTAGATGTCGATTCGGAGTCGCGTTTACATCTTGTGAATGCCTCCTTTGCCGCAGTGTCTGGCCGGGGTAAGGTATCTGCAATATCATTCGTCTGCTTCTCATTTCCTCCGTCAATCACAAGTTTTCTCTGTTCGTGAGATCGTCGTCTCGACAGGTGCCGTTGATGTATGTCTTTCTTTCTCCACCTTGCTGTTACGACGTTTCAACGCTTTGTGAATCACCGCAGGTTGAGCGACTCCGTGTCATTACTGCCGACATTAAAACCTCCAAAGACCGAATCACCGACATCCTGAACAAGGCCAAGACATTGGATGAGGGTGAAGGCGATCGCATCCAATACTTCCTCCATACTCTGCGAGTTTTCGAAACTGAATTTTTAGTTCACCTAAAAGAGTGGAATCAGATATCCCAAATCGTCCAGGTATGTAATATCGATCACGCGGTTGCTTTGCTGATTGCCCGATGATCGCTAGGAAATAGTCAAGTCGGGGCCCCTGGCTGTCGACACGTATGAAGCAATTGCTGACATACTGGTAAGTCCTTGGCTTGCTTTTATTTCGGCGACCTAAAAGTGTGCTTACAGTGGGTGGATAAAGACTGCCCCGTGAATGGTAAGTACGCCACCTTGATGTCGGCTGCGATGGTGCCCAACTGAACCGATTGTCTGATCCGTTGTAGTTCTGCACGAATGCCTCGAGGTGCTCACTCGGCATCTGTCTTCGGTCAAAGGAAACACCCTAAATCTGCGCTCTTTCCATTCTAGGCAATTATGGTGGCAAGCTTGGATCATAAGGCCCTTTCAGTAGAGAGGTTCTCTCGGTGGTTACGCGCGATCTGTACCATCATCCTTGCTCGAAACACCGCGCCAGACAGGACTAAGGCCATTGGGTATGTCGAGCAAGCCCTTACCGTGATCGAGGACCACGACGCCACCGAACAGGTCTGATCTACCACGTTGCTTCGTCTTTGTGCTTAAAATTGCTGATATCCCGATTTGGATTTGTATGCGCGTCTTGTCACAGTCTTACCCCATGGACGAACGGCAATGGCTGCTGGGTACTGCATACAACACCGGAACAGAGTGCCTTCAGTCTGTCTTCAATCCAATTTTTCCTCCTGCCTGTCCGCTCAAATTGGTTCACGCTTCGTTAGCGCTTCGTTACTTGACGAAGCAAAGAGATGGTTCGAAACCTCGACTCGCATTTGCCGATTTGTTCCAGGTGGCAAGGAACGCGCTGAGAAGGTGCGTTTCTGCATGCGAGCTTCGCATGGTATTTGTTCGCGGAAACTAGTCCTCACTTTTCGCGGTTCTGATCCCTCAAGATTTCGGATACTTACATGCACCTCCTTTCACGCTACGGAGACAAACACTAAAACCTCTGGTGCTGCCGGTCTTTCGTGCCTTGCTTTCTATGAATCCGATGTTCTATTTTCTGTTTTCTGTCTTGGCCAAAACTGGATGTTACCGAAGCCTTTGTTGGAACGTTTGCCCTCTCGTCGAGCGTGCTTCAACGGTTCTCTTCCTTCTGTTTTGCTCTACAGATATCAACCTCGGTTTCACCCGTGAATCCCTGATGATGATGTGCACGATCGTGTCCCCATTTGTGTGCTTTTTTCTCGATCCTCTTCATGTTCGCTCTCCGTACCGTGACGCTTTTCAAATTTACACCACGTCTGATGTTGACACATGTAAATAACGCATCCACCCCAATTTCACATCCTCTAAACTTTCTTTCGGGCCTTCTGAAATGTCCAACTGCACCGAATTTACGAAACGTGCATTCTTGTCAGAGTTCCGGGGATTTCCAGAGCAGGAAGCAAGTTACCTTCCAATTCAGGACTACCAATGCCCTACTTCCAATTGAAATGATCTGGCCTCTGCATACATGCCTATCGGGCCATCTGTATACCATTTATTATGTCCCTCAGAGCCAATTACCCATTGGTATTCAATCCCCGCGAATACTCTTTGCCCCCCTAACGCTTTGCTCTCGTGCCCGGTTTCCTGATGTAGATTCACCGCAGGATTCTACGATCGATCTTACCTTGAACATGTCGATAATCAAATCCATCGTCGCGCTCCTTGAATTCGGGTGGGGGTTATCAGATGCTATATAACCGACAACGCGGGAGGCACTCAAATCGAACTCGATGGGCGAGCCGGCGATGAGTCACAATGTGGTAGATAAATGGCAATTAAACGGACCCTGGGGGCAGACCAACATACACCCCCTTTCATTCAAACTGATTCGGGCGAGTAAGGACCTTTTGAACAAGGAAATTTGAGTATGCCATCGATATATCATATCAGCATGTCGGCCTACTCTATAAGGGGGTGACGCCTTTTTTTTGTTTATTGCAACCTACCCCAAAATTATTGTCGCCATCCACACGGAGTGCCGGTGAAAGGGGGTGTTTATACCCATGTTTGATTCCCTCCTCTACAACGCTTGCATTCATGACGCCGCCGCACAAATAACAAAAAATTGCGCTCTTCGATACTGAGATGGCACACAGGCGCCGCTCCCATTATCTTGATACTTTCTGTTTTCACACCCCCTCTAAATCCACCGATCAAGTCGTAAGTCAATAAGGGTAGTATTCATTCCTTTATGACTCGCTGCAGGTTTGAACACTGAAGGGTTCCGCCGCTCATTTCGCGTTCAAAGTCCCTTGAACAAAGTTCCTGGGACGCGTGACGTTCTTTAAGAATTGATAGATTGGAGGGAAACTGCCTGTTGAGTTCCTGCATAAAGCAAAACCCTTCAGTTGATTTTGTCGCCGAAGTTCCTTTTACAGGTATGTCGTGGTCCGTTGGACCAGCGTTCACTTTTCCCTTTAGCTTGGTCTTCTTTCCTTTGCGCAGCCAGAGAGGCCTTGCCTTTTATGGAACGGGAATCTTTCTCCTTGGTGGAAGGGGAAATTTAGTCTTTCGAAATCCTGGTGTTCGTGATTTCAAAACAGATAGCTTTTGTTGGGAATCCAACTTGATATAAAGTTCGTCGTTGTGCGCGTGGAAAGTATGTAGAGGAAATAAATCGGTGTAGAGAAGGAAGAGGAGAAGAGAGAAGAGAATTTTCGGGATTTGAAGCTGTATAACTGACGGCGGTGGAGCCGAAGAAAAATTGCCCAGTCCCCAATCACCATCATAATTTACCAACAGCTTGTAAGTAAGTAGATGCGACAAAAAGAAAGGAGTCTAGCCTTGTTCAGTGGCTCGTATCGTCGTTCACCAAGGTAAAAACGGTTTACGAGGACGACGTTCACTGTAACTCAATAACGGCTGTCTCTCAGCTGTAGTGATATTCGTGGTGGTACTGGGACTGACGCCAGGAAGTGAAAGCAAATCCCGAAATGCATCCCCTCACCCTGATGACAGCAGTGAGGATCGGAGAATGCGGCTGTTGTGGACCTCCAATCAGAGAATTGGAGTGAGGAGGGAGCGAGCATGGGAATTATGATAAGGCTTGAGTTGTCCGTGGGTCTTGACGATTTGAAGAAGGAACATAGTCGGGAGGCTCCACAACCTTTGGAAGTATTCAGCAATGTAGGTCCTAATTGAGGAGGGAAGAGTTTCGTATCCCACAAATCCGCATGTGTAGATGCCGAAGGGAGGTTCCCCGCCAGCCGTCGTTCCTCTAGAAGCGGCAAGGGGGTCAAGCCTTGCCTATCGACCAATATCGTCGTCAACCCCATAGGTAGAAGCAAATAACGAAGGCGCGCTTTCTCCTGATCCGATATCTGTGAGAATCTCAGCTATTGTCATCTCCATGGTGACGTTAGGATGGAAGCGAGAGCGTATCGCCAGAGGGATATCCACATTGGATTTCTTGTTTGTAGGCGAGTGTTGGCAATCTCGGAGTGGAGGCAGGAATGGAGTTGAAGAAGAGGTGTAAGTGGGGAAGGCGATGTTGCTGGCGAGGTACGTTTTGTTCATAATCCAAGGACGTTGGGCACTCCCATCCACATATTCCGGTAAGCGAGATTGAAACTGGAATGGGAAGGATACGGCAGGCAAAGAGGGGAAACACATCGTGCTTGGGTTTGTGTTGTTTGTTGGTAGGTATCATATTTGTGAGGGGAACGGGCCCTGGTGCCACTGGTATATACATAACGACGAACGGGCGAATTGGCACACGTCGTCAGCTTTTGGGTGGTGTGGTAGATATGCTTGCGGAAAGGGATGGTCCATCTTGTAGTAAATTAGCCTCGTTGTCTACAAGCATGGCCTGCAGGACTTCTGCAACTTGGGAGTGAAGGTTTTCTGGCAGACAGAGTCAATTTGAAGTCTGTGAGAGGCGGGAGAAAAGGAGGAGCTTACTAGCGCGACCGACGGCCAATATGTACTCTTCATTCGCGAGCGCCATCTCCTCTTCTAATTGTTGGAATCTGATTGCCTGGTTGGTGTATGGAGGTAAGCGAAAAATTGAAAACTGGGACGTGAACCCACTTGTTCTTCCTCGGGTTCTGGCTCTGGTAAAGAGTTGATAAGATACTCTATCTGCTTGGCTTTCACCATCAAGTCCGCTACTAGCTCTTTCTTGTTGGCTGGTCGGCGCAATGCATCATTCCTTTAGTAAAATAGCAGACGAGGCGGGTCACTCACCTTCAAACACATCTGGGGGGTCATACTTGTCGGGGTTCCGCTGTTTAGTTATAGGAACCTCTGCGCTGACTTGAAGAAAGTTGGATCGCGACGTTAGATAGCTAATGCTGTTGGCCATGATCAGGAGAAGCTAAAGACAACCATTGTTCGGTCAGTATTTGTACTTTTCGTGTTGAAAGGAAACAATACCTGCTGTATTTCATCTTGAAGCTGAGTTATCTTGTCCATGTGCGATAGTTCCTGCAGCATTGCGCTGCTGGGTAGGACCTTGCTCACGATATGGGATTGTGTGAAGATGATCACGTCAGACTTGTAGTCACTTTGACCACCACCACCACCTCGTATACAAATCACGTCTCTATCATGGGTAATGACGGTGGAAGCATCCCAGATCGCCGCGACCTCGTTAGAAACAAGCCGAAGGTAAGATAAAACCCTAACAAGACTTGAAAGATATGGAGCTGACAGAGCGTTAGGCGGAACAAGCTGACAAGGCCAATCAGACTCGGGCACGGTGGTTCTTCTGTGCATTATCGAAGGTGAGCGGAAATTTTTATTCTAACGACGACGAGCTCATATTTCTTCAACTACAGAGTAAACTGCAGGAACCCGTCGTCTCATGTGCGCTAGGCAAGCTGTACAATAAAGACACCATAATAGAGTACTTGCTCGACAAAGCGGCCTATGGAGACGGGGAGAGAATATGTGGTCACATCCGGTCGCTTAAGGTGAGCTCCGAACGCCGCTACTTATTTACAAGCAGGCTAAACCAGTCATGCAATAGGACGTGAAAACTCTGACACTTAGCCCCAATCCTGCGCCTCACTCGTCCGAGCCATCCTCAAGCGACACTGAACGACCACAATTCGTCTGCCCACTTACATTGAAGGAGATGAACGGCGTCCAGCCCTTCGTCTACCTCTCCACCTGCGGCTGCGTCTTCTCCCAGGCAGGGTTGAAGACCGTCTCCGCCTCGTCTACCCCAAAAGACCGGGAGAACGACAAAGGCAAAGCAAAAGCATCTACAACGGACTCTTCGGACGGTGAACTTGAGCTCTGCCCTCAATGCGGGAAGAAGTACTCCCGAACCGAGGACGTCGTCCTGCTCAACCCTTCTCAAGACGAGGAAGACACCATGCGTGAAGCAATGGAGCGTAACCGCCTTCTTGAACCCGTAAAGAAGTCGAAGTCTTTAAAGAAGCGGAAGAACGACTCGCCCACGGACGACGCAGAGCATCCAGCGAAGAAACAGGCAGCGGTGGGGCCGAGCGCCAAAATATCCGCGGCGAGTAAGGCGGTGGTGAGCGGGCTGGCCATGGAGGAAGCGAAGCGGAAATCGGAGATGAGCGATGCTGTTAAGAGCCTGTATGGGAATGGGACGAAGAGGAAGGAGACTTTCATGACTATGGGCACTTTCACTAGGGTATGTATTCCCTCCAGTTTTGATTTCATTTCCAACCCTGACACTTCGTTGATAGTATGCTTAATAGCATGTCTCTACACCCCTCATCATTGTACTATACGCGCCGTATGTATTCTTTGGACGATCACTTGCGGATTGTGGTTGTTGAAGCCGTGAGGCCGTTAGGAACAAGCACCAACCAACGATATACACTGAAGATTCCGCACAGGACGTTTGATTGGAAGTGACACGATACTTTCTTCTTTTCTACGCAAGATTGATCACGAACTCTCATGCTAAGAGCCCGACATGGAATAGTTCCTTTTGCTCTAGGAGTCGAACACGACGCGGGTGCATAAACAGGCATTGCATTTTGGCCTAGGTACACAAATATAAGATTGGTATACGCAAACGGTCATTCCGCTCGAAGCAACCATGTTCATTTCTCTGAAGGTTCCGTGATTGTATTTTTTCCGCTCAGATCGAAGAGTAATCATCACTTAGCCGTAACCTGCGAGAAATGTCTGGACAATTTCTTCGGCCTCAAATATATCTGGGGCCATGTACCTGAGGAAACGTTCCTCATGAGCCTGGTCGCCGCTTGGATGGCGCTGATCCGAAAATTGACGTGCCAGTAAGTACAGCGAGTTTATAAACGTGCTGTGTGTGAGTAGCTTTGAGGAGATAGAGGAGATAAATGTTCGGTCGTTGGCCTTGTGATTGGGCCTTTAGTCAAGTCAGCGAGACGTCATTCACACTAGGAGGACAAGAGCTACTCACTCAACAGCCCGTTGAATAACAGGATGAACTCCCGGAATCTCCACATTCTGATGTACATAAGTGCAACGATCTCTTGAATTTGATCTCAACTCAACAGCGAATGAGGATGATCAGGGACGACTCACATTAATACTGTCGACAATCGCACTGTCAACGCCAAACAGGAAGCGGGGACGGAAATAGAGCGGCGTAGCGAGGAACGAGGTTAGCGTATCGAAGCGTTAAATTTTGTCCTCGAGACGGAGTGGCATTTTCAGTGTGTAGTAGAGGCACCGAGCGATCAATGTCCGCTGCATATGATAGCCACATCAGCCTTTACTCGAGGACACAGCGAGAGAAATGCAAGAAAGGTACTGCCTAACATTGACATCCAATTCGAAACATCAACTTTCCGCTTTAACGACTTCAATATCAACCCAATATCACCCTCCTTCACCTCTATATCGATCCCCCCTCCCATCCCTCCTTCTCCCTCAAGGCCAACCATCGTTTGTGCGAGGAGACATTCGAAGGTGAGGTAAGGTGTACGCTAGCCAGTGGGATTTCAAGATCCGCAGAAGGACGTCGTCCAATGGAATTCTTCGACGAGGTCGTGGAGGAGAGGAGACTGTTTAGCGGAAAGTCTGAGTCATTACTCGGTTGCACTTGTATACTGCCAGAATCCATCAGCCTCATTTATCCCAAAGAAAAAGAAAAAGAAAAGAGACCCACCGACCGGTATCAACAATAAAACTAAAAGTCGCATGGAATTTCTTTGCATTCCTCAATGCATCCATGGCCATCCTCTCCTCCTCGCTCCTCAACGGCGCCTCTATGCCCTCCAACGCCCATTCGAGGCTCAACCAAAAATTGACTTCTTGCGAAGCCGTGCCGAGTGAAACGTCTCCCGTGAACTTGGTCACCACTTGGACGGCTTTGATCCTTGATTTGATGTGCTAGTGGAAAGGCTTGAGGAACGCACTGTCGGCGAACAGCTTTGACCAGATGTGGGAGATATAGGTTGGTTCACCTTGCGATTGTGCCTTCATTGAAGTCAGTGAGACGTCATCATCAGAAGGGGCAACCCACCAACTCAACGGCCCGTAGAATAAGAGGATGAGAAACCAAATTTGTCTCCATAATTTCCACATTCTGAAGTAAGTGCAACAATCTCAACTCTAGCTTTTTGTGCGAGAAGACGTTCGGAGACGGGATAAGGTGTGCATGCTAGCCGGTGATATATTGAGATCCGCAGAAGTACGTCGTCCAATGAGATTGCTTCAACAAGTGGGAGCCCGACGGATTAGGTAGGAGGACAGTTTGCGTGTTCATTTTGGGTGGGCGTTAGTGATTCGTGCACCTTGTCGAGGTCGTGGAGGAGAGTAGATTGTTTAGCGGTCGGTTGCACTTGTGGACTGCCGGTATCCATTAGCCCCATTTATCCCAAAGAAAAAGAAGAGAGACCCACCGTGATCTGTAGCACCCTTCAACTCGGTATCAGCGATAACGCTAACAGTCACATGGAATCTCTTTGCATTCCTCAATGCATCCATGACCATCCTAACCTCCTTGCACTTCACCTGCGCCTCTATGCCCTCCAACGCACTCTCGAGGCTCGACCAAAAGTTGACCGCTTGCGATGCCGTGTCGGAGGAAACGTCCCTTGTGAGCTTGGTCGCCGCTTGGATGGCTTTGACCCTGCGTTGATGTGCCATTAGAGAGAGTTGAGGAACGTGCTGTCGGAGCATTGATGGGATATGGGGTTGTTGCGTCGCCGGCCTTGTGATTGGGCCTTTCTTCAGCGAGACGTCATCATCAGAGGAGAGGAGAATCCACTCACACTAACTCAACAGTCCATTGAAGAACAGGACGAATCATCAAATTCGTGTCCAGAATATACATTCTGATGCAACTGCAACAATCTCAACTCGAGCTCTGCAATTTTCTTCGGCGTCGGTATTCTTAAATTTGCTTCTCCACCTCCACTTCCCCCTCCTGCGTCTTTGCCTGCCCCTGGCCTAGTCGCCACAAACGCGTCAAACCATGATTTAACACCGTAGCTTACCACGGCGTGTCGTCACCGCCAAAGAGGTTGAGAAGGTGAAGCTGCGTATATGGCGGTACGACCGGGTCGAGGTGCGTTGTTCGTTCTATGAGCGCGAGGGTTGTGATGTGTGTTGGGTGTTATGTCAGTCGTGAGGTGGTACGGTGTTCCTCCGTCATCTGCGTCGCTTCTATGTGAATATACGGATGGAACGACCCAACATCGCGCGGAGCACAGACCTCGATAAGCTCAGACAATCCGAAGCGGGCGTATACAAACCACGCACTGGGTGCTTGAGAGCCAGGAAGTGCCTTGTTGGTTGCTGAGAATCGACTTTTTGTGGTGGAAAAACGCGGAAGAGGGGCAGACACAAGGGGCAAACGGCATTCGTCGCCTGGTAAAAATGTGATAAAATGCAGATAACTATGTTAAATCTTTGATTTCACATTTATAACAAAAAATTGGAGTTAAAAAAGATTAATCATTACTGCAAGTTTTTTGCTGCAGGAAGGTGATATTGAAGATGTAAAATATTTATCAGTCTTTTGCAAACTGTATAAAATGAATTTCCTACAAAAAATGTCCTCCTGGTAAAGAGATAAAAAAAAATCATGAGCAATAATGGTGATAGGGAGAAGTAAAATACCCATTACCTTTTTTTTGAGTGACAGATGTTCAATAAAATAGTTCACCTATTCAACTCAAAATTTCTGTCAGGGGAATGAGTAACAAAAACAAAAAGTAATTGCTTTGCAAAAACATAAAGTATGGCATCTGTCTATTTGTGGAATAAACATTTAATAAGCATTGCCAAGGGTTTAGATTAAAATTTTATTGCTCGTGATCTTTGAAGGAATGACCGGTAAATATTATACATTGTCGCCGCGGCAAGAAGATAAAGATCGATCACATTTTGCCGCGGCAACAATGATGAGGCGACGAGTTATTGTCGTCGAAAGATCGTTCTGACACGAGGAAACAGGAACAAAAACTTAAAATGGTTGCCAAGCAATTAGATGAGCTGGTTTGCGTTGAGTTGAACCTAACCTGAGTTGATCGCTGCGTTTGCGTTGCGCTGGTCGGGGCTGGCCACGCATATCACGTGACGAGGTAACAATTGGCACACATTCGTCTTTATGTTAAACAAGCTGGGACAAGAGCTGTGTAGACACTGGGCAACTCATCTACAACTTCATACATATTGTTGCCGCTCACGTACCTTTATGCAGAACTCACGACGAAAAGAAACGACTTCTACGCGACGAAACAGGGAGGGACGACATATGCTCGTGATTAGCGCGGCTAAAACGACGCTACTCCGTATTTAGGACAGCGTACAGGACGGTGAGGGAGTACGAGAAGGTGGGCATTGGGATTGGAAAGGGCGTGACCAAGCGGTTGGGCAGCAGGGCTGGAAGTTCTGCTTTCCCATTCGGTCAGTGGTCTCCAGCGCCATTCCGGCATCGAAACTCACCGGCCTTTCGTAGAAACGCGCCAAATGCAACGAATCCGTTGGGCTTTGGAGTCAAACTTGGTAAGTCAACGCAGCATTCGCTTGTGAAGGATTCGACGTACGTTTGCTGCCAGAACCTCCCCAACTTTTGGGTTCACGGTCTCCCTGGTCAACACTACGGCTTCACCTGCGGCTTCAAGCGTCGCGGACGAAAGGGTTCATGGGGTTGACAAGGACAGGTGGCGTGTTGAATTCTAGCACCTTCCTGAAGCTTGGCGGGCGAAGGGTTTAACAGCGGGCGCTTATGGTTGCAAGGTGAGCAATCGTTCTCAAACACAGCAATCGGAACTGATGTACCTTCAGCGCCCCCGCATACTTTTCATCTGCGGACCAGAAGAACCTCTTCCCGCAATCTCCACTACGCCTCTCGCCTTTCGACAACGCCTTCAACGGCAAACATGGCGGCGGATTCACACGTTCGAGGTAGGTGTGCTCTTCGTGCGTACGTGTGGGTTGTTGCCGATTCACGTATCATGACGATGTTCGAACCCGCAGTTGATTGGCTGGGTATGTCGGCTTCGATCAAGGTGGTCGTATAGGTCAAACTTGGTACGGATTATATCAGGCGGAGAAGGGTGCCCCGGACGCGATGGCCCCTCGCCAAAAAATGTGGTGCTAGAATGGCGAGGACGATACCAGACAATGGAGCACGATAGGATTCTGTGGCCCAGACGAGGTCGCGGACGGTACACGGGAAGACGATGGGATGTACTCGGTATCTTCTGAACTACGTGTTGGGATGGATAGTCCCAAGCTAGGTTACGCCAACTAACGAAACTGACCAGGGTGGAAAGTCAGAGGACTCGGACTAAGGACTAGCAGGTTAGATTGACGTTATTGAGTGAGAGCAAAAAGAGATAACAGACGGAGTCTAACCTATCACTGCTGCGAAGAGCTCGACCCAAAACGCGTGTTTTCCGAGCGTCGTAATCGAAGAAGGAACACGATAGAACTACATTTATTCACAAATTGGCACAAAAGATGACGTTGAACTACGGGATTCAAGATTTGCTGCCGTTGGATATCTAGATTTGAACGTAAGTCTTGAAAATGGGGGGAAAAAGCGAATAATTCCGACCTCCCCACTCCCCAAGAGGTGACAAAGGTGCCTAAAAAAGACCTTACGTGTGTCGGGGCCGAACGTGGCGCTCTGGTCTGCATATACGTGCATGTAGAAGGTTGAGCGCTTCAGTCCGAAGGCATAGCCCCATAGGGACCAATGATCGCCCTCTGACCGACCGTATGCCCTAGGTCTGCGGTCAGAGTTGTGGGGGCCGTCGCTTGAAGGAACGTTAGTGCGAAAAGAAGAAACGTAGAAATACACGTACTGCAGTAGAATACACCAATCGCGAACCCCGAACATTTTGTCCAACTGTTCCTTCTCGGACTTCATCGTCTCACGGATGAGTTTTAGAGCGGCGGTTCGACGATTTGTTGGAAAGTGGCGACGGCAGTAAATTCGGAAACGCATTGGGGTCGGGGATGATGATGTGAAGGTATCGACGATGGTTACAGGGAAGAGACGACTTTGGGGGCGGATTGATCTGTGGCTGCGTCGTGAGACCGATGGTGGAAGGCTATTTTATCAACTAGTGTGACACCGCCGATGTGGGTCCTCGAGCCACAGTTGCACTTTCTATCGATTCGAATGCAACATCACCCACAGCGGCTGCCACCTCCCATTTCCAAAGATCAGACAAAAGACGATTGCTGCATGCATAGCGACTGCATGCACAGTGCGACTTTTCATTGCTTGTAGACGAGGCCATCTCCCACAAACGTTGTTGCACCATTATGTAGCTTGACGGATATCCCTGAAATAAGTTTATACCCATATACTCAGCATGCAGAGAATTGTTATCTTGGTCCAAGTGCTGCACGCAAATCCACGCGCAGTCTCGTTCATCGCGTCGAAGCCAACTATCGTTTGTGGTACCAAGTCACGTGATGGCGAATGTTGACCATTGTGCAATCGTCAAGCAAATGAAACCGTCTAGAGATGGTGACGACGATGATCGAAGCGCGTTGATAAACGGCGCATGGGGTGACCGCTACTGACATTCGGATAAGACTGGTAAGTTTGGGGTAGCGGACTTCCAAGCGACCAATCGGAAACTGCATATTACGAGGAATTCGAGGGAGAGTTAGGCTTGAGAGTGAAATAAGGGACTAGAGTGCAGGCAGATTTTGCCCTAGAAAGAGTCGTTGGGGACATTACAAGTTTGGCGCGAAGTGACAATTCAAGCGTAAAAGCCGTGGACTAGATCCTCACGTTATGAGTGTGGTCGAGAATGTCGCACGACTGCTGCGCGCGAGTCAAGGCAGAAGATCCCGACGGCGCGAATACACGCCCAGGTCATTGAAATGATAATCCGGGACAATCAATTATCCCCAATGTCGTTCAACTTCCATACAGAATGGTAATGTCAATCGGCCTCCGCATCACATGTCTTCACCTCGGAATATACACTGCACGCGAGTTCACACACAGTAATGCGGAGGCATCGGAGATCTTCTGCAATGAATGAGCAGTCAGATCCAGTCTGGATGTCTAGAAAAGCAGCACGTACCTCGAAATGTGATTCGAATCTTCTAACGAAAACGAGGGCCACGGAAGAAAGCCGATAAGTAGAGGAAGATCGCAGCGTCAAAAGGCGGCAGAATGATCATCGGCTGAAGTGCGGACTTTATCGACAACTTCATGCACATAAGTCGAAAGGCGTCATCGCCTACCGAAATGTTGGCTATTGAGTTGGAAGACAACAGAAACCGGTCGGCTAGTGGGAAGCTGTTGCGTTGTTTGTGTGCGGTCCGACCCCTTCGAAGGCCAACAGATTACACGTGCGGCACGAAATGTTGGCTGTTGAGTTGTAAGACAACAGTCAAGAAGCAAATCCCCGACTTTGAAAGGAGGTTATCGGGGAAATGTTATTCTGGGCTTTGCAGAAAATGCCGTGGGCTGCAAATTAGTGTATGACAGACGGACTGAAAAAAGCTGAACATACCCTCAAAACGTCACCCATGGCAAAATATTTGTCCGAAGACCACATACAAAAGCGCAAATCCACGCTCAAGTCACCCTCCGGCAAGAACAGAGAGACATTAGAATGATGTTAAAAAATGCCTTGGGCTGCAAATCAGCGTATGACGACGGACTAGAAAAAGTTGGACATACTACCTTAAGAACGTCATCCATCGCCAGATATTTTCCCGAAGGCCACATACAAGAGCACGAATCCACGCTCAATTCACTCTCAGGAGAGACATTGACAGCGAGAGGTCAGTTGATATATTGCCCGTGGGTGGAAATGAATCGTGAGCATCGAAGCCACGTGAGGTTTAAACTCCGCTACTCACCGCCTTGAGGAAACAACTTCAAACTGGATGGACTTAAGTCTCTTACCTTGCCGGAAGCATGTAAGCCCCTCGTTTACTGGCAAAGATGACCTTGAAATGTGCTTTTTCTAGGATGATCAGGCTAATCTCGCCGCGTTCCGAATGATACGACTGCAACGTCGGAACAGCCAGAAATCGATTTCAACGACTCGGACGTTTCCAAATCGTGAATGCACCTTGAAGGAGCGCTTGCACGCGGACCGGCCTGTGCGTGAACTCGCGCATAGCGCCCATGTCCCAAAATTATTTCGTTTCGCTCCAAGGTCATCCCTTATCGGTCTTATCTTCTACGATTTGGGATCGACCCGAGGTGTCTTCTCTCTTTTTTTCTGGCATCAAAATGCAGTCAGTATGGAGGGCCAGAACAGAATGACGTGATTGCCACGTTTAAACGGTCAAGACTTGATACCATTCGGACGTTTCCAGATGCTGAATGTGCCCAAACGGAGGGCTTCCACCCACGTAGGCCGGCTTGTGCGTGGACTCGCGTACAACGCCCATATCCCGCAATTGCCTCTTCTCCCCCAAGCTAGTCAAGCGTTGCGTGCGGTGCTGGAACAACGACGGTTTTCTCACAAACTATGACTCAGCACCCCTGCGTTGTACATGGCGGTAGAGCACGGGAAATCTGGCATCGGCTTGGTGAGTGTTGTCTTCATGCTGGGAGATATATCTGACTCGGGCACAATAGGCATTTACGTCCTTTAATCCATCTGCAGGAAGCTGTTTATCGAGTTCCTGGCAAACGAGGGCCCACCAACAACTAGGAAGCAGCTCGTTACCACCCGTTCATGTTTGGCGTTCTGCGGCAAACTGAAGGCTCAATAGGCATCTACGTCCTTAAATCCATCTGCCTGTGGCTCTTCATCAAGGTTTTGGCAGACGAAGGCCCACCAACAACTAGGAAGCAGCTCGTTACCGCCATTCATGTTTGGCGTTCTGTGGCAAAGGCCTCGAATGACGAATGGCTAGCTTTCGATACAACATTTGAAGATCTTGACGCTTTCCGGGCACGTCTATCCTTTAGTCCGGGTGTCAGCAGGTGCCTTGTGCGCGTTGTCTGCATATTCTGTGATCGTCTTCATCGACCTTCTTTCTCCCCGGTCCGACATGCACAATAAATTCGCTTTGCACCCACCTCTCCTCACTTCGTTTGCAGCCAACTCTAGCTGCCTGAGGCTGTTTATCGAGTTTTGGCAGACGAGGGCCCACCAACAACTAGGAAGCAGCTCGCCACTCCGTGGACCCATTCATGTTTGGCGTTGTGTGGCAAAGGCTTCGTATGACGATTGGCTTCAACATTTGATGATCTTGATACTTTTCTGGGCACGTCTGTCCTTTACTCCGGGTGTCAGCAGGTGCATTGTGCGCGTTGTCTGCCTATCCTTTGATTGTCTTCATCGACCTCCTTTCCGCCCGGTCTGACATGCACAATAAACTGGCTTTGCACCCACCTCTTCGTTTGCAGCCAACTCTAGCGTGAAATCGCGCAGAGTGTTTTCTCAGAAACTATAACTCAGCACCCCTGTGTTGCACATGTTGAATTCATCGAACACGGTAGACAAATTGCTGCACGAGAAATCTCGCATCGCCTTGGTGAGTATTGTCTTCATCCTAGGGAATATATCTGACCCAAGGCTCAACAGGCATTTACGTCCTTTAATCCATCTGCCTGAAGCTGTTGATTGAATCTTTGGCAGACGAAGCTTAACGTCCGCACGGCCAAAACTCAATCTCAACGACTCGGACGTTCCCAAATCGTGCATGCACGCACCTTGAAGGAACGCTTGCACGCGGACCGGCCTTTGCGTGGACTCGCGCATAGCGCCCACGTCCCGCAATCATTTTGTTTCGCTCCAAGGCCACCCCTTATCGGCCTCGTCCTTTCAGCAGTCAGTATGGAAGGCCAGCACCTTTCCCCCCAAGCTAGTTAAGCGTTGCGTGCGGTGCTGGAACAACGACGCAGTCAGCTATTGCCGACCGAAGGCCTACGTTGGGGAGTCATGGCGATGTGACAGTAGCTCACCTTGAACTGTCGTGGACACCATGCCGGCTTCCGTGTTCCGCGGGTGTATCTCTCAGCAGATCTTTTTCTCACCTGCAATCAACATCATTATGCGCGGGTGTCATCCGGCGAAATTCCCCCACCAGAACGCAATCGGCCTGAAACGGCGTTGCAACCTGCTTCGGCTGCAAATGTTCTCAAGGCCGATACTTTCCTCGACACCTTCTTTGTTCTGTTGCAAAATTTTCGATTATGCAGTCAACTTTAGCGTGAAATCGCTCAAAGAGTTTTCTCACAAACTATGACTCGGCACCTCTGTGTTGCAGATGTGGAATTCATTGAACACGGTAGACAGATTGCCGCAGAAGAAACCTGGCATCGGCTTGGTGAGTATTGTCTTCATCCTAGGGAATATATCTGACTTAAGGATCCCCTAGCGGGAAATCGCGCAAAGAGTTTTCTCACAAACCATGATTCAGCACCCCTGTTTTGCACATGTGGAATACATCGAACACTGTAGACAAATTGCCGCACGAGAAACCTCACATCGCCTTGGTGAGTGTTGTCTTCATGGAATATATCTGACTCAAGGCTCAATATGCATTCATGTCCTTTAATCTATCTGCCTGAGGCTGTTTATCGAGTTTTGGCAGACGAGGGCCCACCAATAACTAGGAAGCAGCTCGCCACCCTGTATTCCGTGGATTCGCGCACGTATTGAGTAGCGTGAACCTCGCCAACAAACCGTGTGAGTCTTGGTCATACACCAAGTCAAAGGGAAACCCTGGTCCTATCAAATAGTGCCCCACTCCAATGCGCTCAGGATGCACTTTCTCGAGTTCCGCCCCTATTTGGACTCCGGCAACTTCTTTTACATTTGTCGACTCCACTGGATTCCCAATGGAGTCCTTCTTTCTACTGCGTGGCTTCGCGCCCAATATCAATCATATCGAGCGGTGTGATCACCGCGCCCATGCGCCAACACATTATGTGGGCTCGCGTGCAGCCTTTGTACCCCGAAGAAAACGTTCGCTTTCGCCCCGGAACATAACTGTATACTAGCGGTCGCGCAGTGTTCTTTGGAGTTTAATTCAGACCTGACGCGGGATGGTTAGTCTGCGCATGGATTCGTGTGCAGTGCGCCGGCAATGACAAACGTTCTTGAAGACCGTCTTCCAATGTCTTTCTCTGGTGTCTGCGATAGAGGGGTGGCCAAGCTATGTCTACCCTCGCAATCACCTTGGGCGCCTGCTCATGCAGATGCATGTCTGGATCATACTGATCGACCACTTCTCTCCCTGTTTGCATGTGGATTTTTTCCAGACTCGATTTGTGCCGTTGATGTCCTGACCTCTCTTGTTGCTTAGGAGTGTGCCCAACAAGCCAAAGACCCTGTACGCGCTGAATAGGGACCTACGTGATCATACCAATGTTGAGCCGCAGCTTCCTGAGGAGAGTCATACCCCTTCCTTACACTGTCCAGATTTTGGCGAGGTTCAAAGACCTGGCTGTATTTCACTTTACACCATCTTACAAGTGCCCGACTGTGGTAAGCTACGTTCCTATCCGGTGCACGCCAATGCTTCCTGAGGCATCATCAGCTCAATTCAATCCTATACTCAAAAGGCGGTTACTATTGAAAATGGCTATAGATTATTCGGAGTGGATTGGGCCGATTACTGCATTTTAACCATTTGATAAATTGAAACTCTTTACTTCATAGTAGGTATCATTGATTGTAGCAATCCAGAGAAGTTTGAAATTATTTTGTGATGTTTTTTTTGGATGGAACCTCTTAGTCTTTCACAACAAGGGAACAAGATGGATCTAGAGGGTGGTTTACACCGTTCTGCTTCAGAAAGGTATGCCGTTGGGTCACTTAATCAACAAGTTATCGCCAGAAACTATCGTAAGTGCTCACCTCGCCTCTTCTTAACATGAAGTGTTGATTTTGGATTGATTATCAATGAATTCAAGCAAGTTATCAAACATTCATTCGGCGATGGGGTAGTAACTGCGGACATGGCTGGCATCTTGGGCGACATGCAGCAATACCTTGATCAAGCAAGAGAAATCTTGGGTAACTCAGTTGAAGACCCGCAAGCTGCTATATCCTCCAACGTAAGGATGGAGTATAAAGACCTGGACATTCAAGAGCGGGAACATCTCATGATGTGCTTCAATGGGATCGGGAAGTGCTGCAGCAATGGAGGAGATGTTGAAAGTGTAAGCACCTTTCTGACTGGACTCCTGATGATCACTTATTACCATTCATTTCCAGGCTTTGATGTGGCATGGAGAAGTAGAGTCCATTTATCAGGGGTTCATCTCTGCCCAACAGGATAATCTTACACATGGTGGGGACTATGGACATGGTCTCCTGTGAATCTGATTTTGAGCGTAATACTGCCAGATTGGACATTCCTACCTAGCTTCTCTCCAGAAGCTAGCTACCAGCGCATCAAAGGACTGGTTTCCGCCGCTCAACAACTATTTGTTTTGGGAAACACTGGGACTAGTGTGCAACGACGATGGAATGCGCATGAGATTCTGACCTCTCTGCCGGTCTCATCACGAACTCCGCGTATTCGAGCTTTGATAGACGCCGAGGAACTCGATCGAATCATCCAAATCAGACATCCTGACCCTGTCACTCCTCCAACAAGCAACGTCGTTGTCCCAACACTTCAGATTCGTGGCCTCTGGCAAAAACATGACTTTCGGACTTCAGTCCGTACTACCCTTGCTCGTTTTGGATTCGCCAGCTTTATATGGCGGAGTATGCGTGTTTGCTTTATTTTGAAAACTGTGTTGACCTCTCTTTCTTCGGTGCAGCTCGATTGTACATGGCAGGCGGTCAAACTGATGCCAGACACTCTTTTCGTGACCTCTGGTGTCTCGACCTTTCACAAGTTCAGCAAGAGTGGCGACGGTTGGAAGATTACCCTATTCCTTTGGCTGTCACTGGCCAATTTTACGGCTGGCAGATGAAGATCCGTGATGATAAGGCTTATCTCTTCACAGGCCGACCCGAGCTAGATTTTTATGATCTTCTTTCTGAAAGATGGAGCTCTGTGATGACCACTTATGTGCCTACAGCAGAAGACCGATACGCAGGAGTAGAAGGGGACTGGCCCTACCCTGGCTTCAGGGTTGTTGAAGCTGCTGTTGAGCTTGCTCACGATAAGTTGCTTGTGTTTGGGGGAACGCACAAAGGATCTGCACTCGGCTGTAATCTTTTAATGGAACTTGATCTCACGAGCAATACCTGGAAACGGTTGAGTGGGTTTGTTATAACACCCCTTTGGGGGCACCGTTCTCTTCCCGGTCCGCGCAAAGCTGCAGCTAGCTGGTTGAACAGCAGTCAGGACACCCTGCATATTTTGTTTGGTTTATCTGACCGATACGCCGCGCAACTGGAACAACAGTCTCATGGGGCTCAAGACTCCTATGCTTATGACGACTTGTGGAGTTGGGATATCAAAAGCCATGGGTGGAGCAAAAAGAAGCTATGCGGAAATCCACCGAGTCCGCGGTGTGAAATGGCATACTGTTATGTATGTACAACTTTATTTCGCATTTTGCAAGTGTTAAAGTTCTATTACAGAATCGAAAACTGGACCTTCTGATCACCTTTGGTGGCTACAATCCCACGGTTCCAACAGCTGATACGAGCAAGAACCAGATGTTCGCCTATTCGTACTACGCTGACACATTTGCAATGTGCAATGAAACACAGAAATGGAGGCATATTCTGTCGCCCGGGTTCCCAACGTATCGGTCTCATGCTGGACTTGTCTCGGATGAAAGTACTGGCAGAACCTATCTTTTGGGGGGGTTTGTTAACACAGATTACATTCCAAGTCGGTCCAGATTTCTTTCCAAAAGTCTGGGAGACATGTGGGAGCTTTGTCTTGACGTTCCTGGGAGCTCTTTCAATCATGCTGATTATATCAGGGAACAGCATGGAGCTCCCGCTGGGCCTTGGAAAAGGTGTTTCACATGTGGTCGGGTCGGGTTGGTGAAGAAATGTGGAGGTACGTCTGTTTCTATCTCAGCCAAGCCTGAACTTCATCAGTCGTATTACGCAGGTACATGCAATGGCAGAGCGGCTTTCTGCAACACAATGTGCTTGAAAAATGGTTGGAAAATGCACAAAGAAATTGATGAATGTTTGAAAAAGTAGAGAGCGACGATTAGGTTAATTGTGTCTGTTGGGGAGAGAAAGTTGGTGGTGGCAAATATATGAGTATGTGTATATTTCCTTCCATCATATACTGCGAGCCATCAACTACTGCATATCTCATTGTCTGTTCTTGAGAATATAACGCATTCGTCGGACAAAGGATCTATCCGTCGCGACTGTCGGCGGTTGTTGCATCGGGTGCCTGCTAGATTTTGCTGCACCCCGTCTGCTGGACACGATAAACAGCTTTATGTAGATAAGCCGAACACAATCGCCTATAGAACCTTAGATCAGATATATTTTGTAGGCTGAATCCAATACTCACCAGGACTTGCCCAAGAGAGATAGGTTGATGCGCGCTGTGTTGTGCTGCGACTTTCCAAGAAGATGCGTGTTCGATGATACCACGGGGGTATCGTCTCATAAGATTTGAGAAAACTGTTTGCGCGATTTGACCCTGGAGTTGCATGAGTAATGATCTCGGAGGGCGTAAACGGGAATAGGTGTCAATGAAGCGCCGCGTCGGCGGTGGAAGTATAGTCAACGGCACTGCCATTCCAGGCGTATTACGTGTAGGTAAAAGCATATTCGGAGAAAAATGATAGTAACGTGGTTGACGCACAGAGTAGGCCATGAGTCGATCACAAATAGCAGACTCCTTTGAGAACAAGGCCGATCAGATAGAACAGACGCGCTGGTGGTCTAGATTGGCTGTATTCTGATGCCGAAGCTTTGCCTCCTGGAAAGAAAGAGGGCGTGTCGAGTCGGTGACATATCGCAAAAAGCAGGGCCGGTAAGCGGCCATTCAGGGTTAGGAAAGTGCAGCGCAGAACACAGCCGCGGAAGACCGTAGTGAACGAGAATCGTTTCCCCGCGGATATCAAGCTGATGGAACTTTACCCATAGTTCGTACCAGAATATTTAGAAGGATCCGTGCTCAAAAGCTACCGCTATGGAGTAGCAATCCGCACCATTGACTGGAGATTTTTGAAGCAGCTCTGTGCGCTATGTCAGACTGGAGTCGCTATAAAGCGTAACTGAGGCGATGTTTGGATGATCTGGAGAAGACTCCAGAAAACCCCGCATAAACAAACGAAGTGAGATGAGGTGTGTGCAAAGTGAGTTGATAGTGCATGTCAGACCGGGCGGAAAGAAGGTGGATGAAGACGACCGCAGGATAGGCAGACAACGCGCACAATGCACCTGCTGACACCAGGAGTACCGGACAGACGTGCCCGGAAAAGTGTCAAGAGCATCAAGCGTTGCATTGAAAGCATTCGTCATCCGAAGCCTTTGCCACACAACGCCAAACATGAATGGGTCCATAGAGTGGTAACGAGCTGATTGCTAGTTGTTGGTGGGCCCTCGTCTGCCAGAAAGTTGATAAACAGATTCAGGCAGATCGTACATAGGACGCAAAGGCCTATTGAGCCTTAAGTCAGATATATTCCTTAGGATGAAGACAATAGTACTCACCAAGCCGATGCCAGCTTTCTTGTGCGCAATTTCTCTACCCAGGTCAATGAATTCCACATCTCCCACACAGAGGTGCTGAATCATAGTTTGTGAGAAAACTCGTTGCGCGATTTCACGCTACAGTTGGCTGCAAACAAAGTGAGGTGAGGTGGGTGCAAAGCGAGTTGTTCGTGCATGTGAGATCGGGCGGAGAGAAGGTCGATGAAGACGATCGAAAGATAGGCAGGCGCACACTGCACCTGCTGACACCCGGCGTAAAGGATAGACGTGCCCGGAAAAGTGTCAAGAGCATCAAGCGTTGCATTGAAAGCATTCGTCATCCGAAGCCTTTGCC